AAGACAAGCTTCATTATTTTCATTTTCTGACGCGATCAGCTAATCTTCCCTCATCAGTTTTGTCGTGCAGCGGCTCTACTGGAATGTAGCAAATTTATGTTGTAATGTGCCATTGATAATTTAAACAAAACTCTTGACTTTACATAAGTAAACAGTTAATGAACTCAACTCGCTAATAAACAGTTACCTATTTAAGCATCAAGAACGGTAAAACATAAACGAATTCGGCCAACAGCAAATTAGCTCCATTGAGATTCGATCTCAGATCGTTTGAAGCGTAGTGAGGCTCATGTAGTTGCGTTAATCGCTGAGCTATCGTCTGAACGCTGTTAAATAGTGTATTATGGTCTTCCAACCCCTCATTGATAGCCTAATATGTTTCGGTTGCAATGTTTTATGTTGAAATGTTTTCACTATTTATTCAATTTAATTTCAGTAGGCCTATTGTGATTATGAATTCGTTTAACTACAAGTTTCACTTGAAATCATCTGTTACCAGCTTACAATCGCTCTGAATGAGCAGCGGCACTGCGGCAGATTACGCAATAGAGAGAATAAACTGACACTTTTCAAAGTCTGTAATTGTAGCGCCTCTTAGCGGTAAAAGGCAACAAATACACACCAGAATTTTACCGCCGCGGTAGCGGCGGCGGTAAAAGTATTATTCTGGTTGAGTACCCACTGTATAACGACTAACTAGATGTTTGTTTTGATACAATAAATTGTAAACGGATACTTTGACTGCCTGTTGCTATGGTTACTCACAGCTGATGTAGCCAGCGCTTTTATTTATTAATTTCACACGGTAAACAGTCAGTTTCACCAGAACTCCTTTACTAGGAGGCTATTGTTTCCTTTACTCTGTGGCTGTGTCCGAAATCTTCACTCAAACCACTACTCCCTAACCCCTATGTAGGGGGTAGGGAGTAGAGCACTATATAGTGAGCTCACCAGCATAATAGAAACACCACTTTCGGACACTACTCGATCGTCTCTCGGCGCCGTTGATTACGTCATTACTGTCGCACTATTTAAGCGCGCCATCATCTGTCAGCTGGTGCCGAGCCAGCTCTGGGCTTTTTTTTTATAAATACATTATATTGAGCTTATTTCTCCAAAATTGTAAAATTAAAAGTCATTTCTGGCCGTTTCTGTTATAATGCGTTACTCCACACATGATTATAACTTATAAACATAAATAAAATTAATACACATATTTCACATATTTTCATTTTCGCGCCACACCGTTTTCTCTTGCCTGTCGACATTAGGAAAAAAAAACAGTCTACGTTATCAAATATCTTGCTCATAATACTCTTAATAAAACAGCTTTTAAACAGCTGTGGAGATGCCACTCAATGTTTATCTTTTTTGTTTGTTTGTTCTCGTGATTCAGAAGATTTTGCGGATTAGCAAAAGAAACAGGATTTCTAGACACAGAAAACGACGTGCTGTTCGTGCTGTCGTCAAATTGTAAGTTAAAGATGAAGATGATGCTGATAGGTCTTTTACGATCAGCGCAATGCATGATGGTATGTAGGGCTTGGGTTAGTGACCATCGGTTGTACACTACTTTTCAAAATGCATTCTAGGATACATTGAGTGGTCTATATAGGGTATAATAATCATCACTATACATTCGGACAGCACTACAAAATGGCGAGCTCACTATATAGTGAGTAGTGGGAGATTTCGGACACAGCCTACCACTTTTTAATGGACACCCTGCAGCCAATCAGATTCGAGTATTCACCCAGACCATGGTATAAATCTTTATCGTTATAGTTGTGGCTATTCTTTAATATGGAGAACGATTTTTAGAACCATATCTTTATCGTTATCTTTATAGTTATCGTCCTTGGTGTGAACGGGCCTCTAGAGTCACATCCACTAGATTTTTCTTTAGAGCGCTTCTCTAATTCGATTCGATTCAAAGAACTTCCACTCAAAATATTGAAAAATCAAGATTGTCGGGCAACTATCTGACCGTTCCTACCCTGCCCTGCTGTCTTAGTGTAGGGTTTATTTGTGGATGGTGGTGGCCTGTTTAAGCAGACATGCTTCAGACTGACTGGAAAATGTTGGCGCACAAAGGAGGAAGTGGATTAAGATCAGCTGTAAGGACCTCAGGCCTTTCCCTTGACTAGGAGGGGTTGCCCCTCTTCCTACACCACCAGCCTTTATTGTTTTCATTCGCCATTTATAGCAGTACCTGTGCTTGAAAAACAGCTGAATAAAAGGCTGGCCCTTCCTCTTCATTAACAATTGATCCAAAGGTTATAGCGCAGACAGGAAGTGTCGTGGCAGGTGTAGCGTGTAGATTACGGTCCCCGGCTGCGAGTTGGGACTGTGGTGTTTACGGTTTTGTGTAGAATACTTGACCTTGAGTCCCCTGATGAGTGAATGAATGAAGCTATCACAGACATAAATGAGGATTTTGATTAAACCATTATGACTTTCCACTATATTTTCAGCTTCGTCTAGCAAACTTTCACAAAACATCTTTAAAAATATTGGGTTTGTGTAGTTAAATGTCACCGCCTCCCACTATTTTAACATTGGTCTGGTGTCTTCTTTCAAAGACCTTTCGCTCATACTAAATGTTATATCATGTTTCATAATAGCTAGTTTACCTTGAGTTAGTCAAGTTGAGGTCTGTTACTTTTTATACAGGACCGGGTCACTTGAGCATTTACAGAGACCCCATTTTTCAAACATTTTCTCAAACTCACAAATGTCAAAGCATTTCAGGGTTAAGACCTAAAAAATTTAGACCTATTTACATGTACTACTGTTTAAAAAAAAAAGTCTCCTATGCTCACCAAAGCTGCATTTTTATTTGATGAAAAATACAATAAAAATATTAATATAGTGAAATATTATTACAATTTAAAATGTAATTTATTCCTGTGATCAAAGCTGAATTTTCAGCATCATTACTCCAGTCTTCAGTGTCACATGATAATTCGGAAATCATTCAGATATGATGATGTAATAATTAAGAAAAAAAAAAATTATAATTATCAATGTTGAAAACGGTTGTGCTGCTTCAAATTGTTGAGAGATTTTTTTTTCTTTGATGAATGGAAAGTTCAAAATCTTTAGAACTTATTTAACCTAACTTTAATTTTTTTACTGTCGCTTTTGATCAGTTTAATCATAATGCATCCTTGCTGAATAAAAAATTATTTTACATTGTAGTTTATGCTTTTTTGTAATTTGTTAATGTCCTTTATTTAGTTTAAAAAATACATTTTCTGTGGCGTACTTGATATAAAATGCAAATATATTCCTATTTACAGTACCTAATTTGCATACTTTTTTGCATATTTTCATATTTTCTGCATATTATTTTTATTTGCATATTGCAGTCAACATTTAAATTTAAAAGAGTACAGTGTTTCCCCTACCATTGTTTTTGGGGGGCGGCCCGCCACTCCAAAACGACTCCCCGCCCCCCCTAAAATGCTGACGAAATCCAATCATAAAAAAGGAATTTACTGTATAACGCGGAATTTCACGGAATTTGTAAATCTTTTGAGGAATAAATAGAAAGCAGTTCAGTACACTTGAAATCAAATCGCGATGTAGACTAGTGTGTGTGGATATTAAACCACAAAGACCATTTAAATACGAATCCTGCATGTTCTGTGTGATTGAATGGCGCAGCCGACACGCAGTTTCATTTACCACACACACACACACACACACTGAAGCACGTGTGACGCTTGCGCTGTTTTTTGGCCTATATGAAGACACAAATGCATGAACTTCCTCTCCAGACTCTAGATCCACTCCGAAAGTCACTTCGTGATCATTTAACCGCTTCATTTGAGAAAAACTATCGTCATGACATAAACACACAGAAACTCAAAAGGTCTTCACGGCAACCGGTCAAAAAAAAAGTTCGGTTTAACTTGACAGAAATATATTACCGTTGTACAGTAGAACTTAGATATGTCCCAATGTAATAATACTAACACTAATCCAAATAAATTATCATCAAAATTCAGTTTTTTAAGGAATAATCCATGTTTTAATTTTAACAGTAAAGCTCATTGTGCAGCACGTTATTTGATAAAAAGTTTATTTAATTTCATATGATTAAAATTGATGATAAATGATAAAATTTGTGTTTTATGTCTTCATTTTATTACCAGAAAAAACACAACACAAAATTAGGGTGACATTGTTTTTCATATATATTTTTTTAAATGTTGTATAAGTTTAATGATTCATAATACATTATTTCAATTAATTAGACAAGCTTTTTGATTGCTAAAAAATGTACACCACGTATCCGTAACACGCCCGCTACGCAACACTAGCAGTCCCACTATGACTAAAATCATAGTGACTAGTAACAACAAACCAAAGCAAAATCTCATTTATTTTGTTTTCCCCTATGACAACCAGTGGAGTTGGAGGAGGGGAGGGATGTGGCTTTCATTCATCAGTGAGACATCTCTGAGGAGTGGGGATCTGATGAAACCCATTGTGAGATGAATGCTCTCTCACGTCACCTGCATTATGCCATCATGAGGGTGTGTTCATGTGAATAGACCTGCACTGAACAGCTTCCACAGGCTACATGTGCGGCGTAAGAAAACCACTCGTATAGTTAGTTTGTGTGAAGAACAGACCAACATGTAAGTCTTTATTCACTGAAAATCAGCCGCAGTCACGCTTGTGCTCATTCGAACTTGTCAACTTTCAATCTAGTCGTCATGCCTCTTAGAAAGAAGTCTCCCTTGGCAATAACGTCATAATTACTGACAACTGAGACCATATTGTGATGTCTAACCATCCATTATCATTCGGTGTACATGAGATACAAATGCAGCTCCTTTGACACTCAATCTCAATCTTCAATCTCACTGTTCACTTTGTTCCTTTATAATGCTCACACCAAAAAGTGTGATGTCATCTTCACAATGCTCGACCATGATCACACTGCTTGTCGGACAGCTGATAAGAACCTGCGCCCTTGTTCTCTGCAGTGTCTTGAGACTCTCACTCACCGTCAGATGGACATGCAGAAGTTCATCGCTGACGGCTGTCGAGAGGCTCTGCTGGAGGAGAAGAGGCGCTTCTGCTTCCTGGTGGACAAGCACTGCAACTTCTCCATCCAGACCACAGCTTTCCATGACAAGGTTGGTTACTTCAGTTAGCACAACTAAGGCCTGTTCACACCAAGAACGGGAACTCTTAACAATGACTAAATAAGCTAAATGTTGTGTTTATTCTATGCGCTCACTTTTGATTGGCTGTCAAGGTTTTTACTGTCCACTGAATCGCTCTGAAAATGATTCCAGCAACATATCATTCCTCTGTGTCGTTATAGTTATGGGGTTTATATGGACTCCACTATTCACTTAGAGACATTTTTTAAAACTTGATGGTTATCGTTAATATTTTAGTTATCATTCTTGGTGAGAATAGGGGGGAATTTTTGCTCCCCCAAAACAGGGACCTATATTGTTAGTTTTTTGTTTTTTTCTTGGTTTGGTTCGCTTTTGGCAACATTTCAAAGCATACAAAAATGTTTATGCAAGTCACATGTGAGTAAAACTGTCCTGTGATTGGTCAGAGTGCAACTGCTCTTAGCGTCATCCATCAAGATGGACTGATATGTTCACTCCTCAGGCTTATTGTGGCTTTATCTTTAGCTGTCGTTACACACACTTTTACAAATGTATGAGCATTCTCGCTACATATACAGTGGTGTGAATAAGTTATTACCCCCGACACATCGGCCGAACAGAAAAAGTTAACGGCCGACGCCAATATTTAAAAAATGACAAATATCGGCCAATATATCGGCCTTGGCGATACATCGGTCAACCACTAATGTTAAGATGAAGAGGCGCACTTCAACTGTCACAACCAAAGTGCTCATCGACAGAATCAGACACGGCTACTTTTTATGTAATACTCAGTACTAAATTAAGTTATTTTTTTGCTGCTTAAACAGTCAAATGCACTCAAAATGCCGGTCTTGGCGAGTCTTCATGTAAAGAAATTATGAGATAAGATTAAAAATATCTATATGGCAGTTTTTCCCTCATGGTAACAATGTCAAAATTGTGGCCAGTGAAAATGTTGAGTGGCTAGTAACTTTGAAAAACCACTAGCCACAGCGACCTAAGAGTTAAAGTCAAGTCCTGAAGGCCTTCATGATTACTCTGCTCATGTGCTCTCTTTAACTCTTGGATCTGAAACCTTTCTGTGTTCTTGAAGGCTCGAGAGCTTCTGTCAGAGAACCTGATCGGCTGGCAGGACAAATGCAGTGACGCCACCAATGTCCCCGACAGCGTGATGTCCATGATTGAAGGTCTGCGCACTCCAGTGGCCAACACTCCTCAGGCGTCTCCGTCCCTCCAGCGCCACAGCAGGGTGAGGACACCGACTCCTACACTACGCAATGAGTACAGTGTGCAGGCCGGCTGTGTTGTCAATTCACACCTGCGTTTTTCTGTCCCTGTACAGTCCAACTCGGATGCAATGATTCCGGCGCCTCCGTTGCCGCCTCAGACGAGTCCTCTGGCCAGCATGTTCAACCCAGAGTCCTCCAGACAGGAGAGAGAGTCTGGTGAGCGTCACCTATTACATATTACACCTCTGTAATCTGAAATCAACACGAGATTCGACCCCGCTACTTTCCTAAAACGCATTCCTGATCTAACTTTGCATGACTCCGCCTCTAACTTCTTTATAAATTTTTCATTTGTGTAGGCAAGGGAAAATGTATTACTATTTATTGTCTCAGGCTACGGTTGTTGGTAATGCGGCTCTTTTTAAAAATCTTGCTAATAGTCAATGTAATACCAGTTAACATAATAAAGTTACCAGCAATAATAACCAGTAACAGTACATTTTAGAGAAGTTTTTAAATGTAAATATTAGTTTTAATTCAAATATTCAGATTTAGATTAAAAAATCTAATATTCATATTTAGTTATATTTCAGCTTTATTTCAATTAACAAACTTTTTTTTTTAATTGTCGTAGTTTTGGAGATATATCTTGCTAATAGTCAATGTAATACCAGTTAACATAATAAAGTTACCAGCAATAATAACCAGTAACAGTACATTTTAGAGAAGTTTTAAATGTAAATATTCGTTTTAATTCAAATATTCAAATTTATATTAAAAAATTTAATCATATTTAGTTTTATTTCAGCTTTATTTCAATTAACAAACTTTTTTTTTTTTAATTGTCGTAGTTTTGGAGATACGTTGAGATGCTTTTTACAGTTCAGTCACTTTCCTCATGAATAAAATATTTAGTTATGTTTAAATATCCTTTTTCACTTTGAAATTCACAATAAAAACCAGTTAATTATAAATTATATACTGTTCAAATTCACAATTGAGCAATTCAATTGAATGCCAAATTGTCAGCATCTATATTCAAATGTGAAGCTTTGAGGACGTGTTGTCGGTCTTTGCCCCTCTAGACTACAACAACGAGGACAATGGATTGTCCAGGTCTGTGTCGATGGCCACAGGCCTCAATCTCACAGACAAAAGACCCAAAGTGCGCACCATTTTCCCCCACAAGTCTGGAAACAACCAAACGCTGCTGAGCTTTGAAGAAGGAGACATCATCACACTGCTGATTCCCGATGAGAGGGACGGCTGGCTGTACGGAGAGCTGCAGAACACCAGACAGTGAGTGCAACTGGTCTCATTTATACGAGCTGCAAGGAGTTTGACATCAGAGTTCAGAACCACATCTGATTCTGGAGATCTGGTTTAATGAGGACTCAATAATAATAATAATTTGGCTTTAAAGCTTGATTGTAAATCAAACCAAGCCATGAACATTTTTGTGCACCGCTTTTAATTCATGACACAAGTTGGAACACACTAGCGATCTATTAGAAGTGCCTGATTATGGCGAGAATTATAATCATGATTATTTTGGTCAATATTGAGATATATGATAACTCACTGAAAACATCATGCATTTATTGCAACATTTTTTTAAATATAAAAAATTTCCTTGAACGTTGAATATAATTAAACTGAAAAACAAATAAAAATAAATGTTACTAAATGATATACAGTACTGTGCAAAAGTCTCAGGCACGTTAGTGTCAGTAAGAAATATCAGTTTGCATTTCCATACATTCCTTTTGCCATTAATTGTAATAATCCAGTGATATTTTTGTATATCTGAATGCTGTAAAGTGAGGATGCTTTCAAAAATAATGTCATAAATAGATGTTATTTCTCAGTTAACTTCTATGAACTAAATCAGAATGATATATGGTGCGCCACCGTTTGCGTTTAAACAGCTTTTTTCCTAGATACACTCAAGCATAGTTTTTCAGGAAGCTTCTTTAATGGCAAAAGGAATGTATGGAAATGTAAACTGATATTTCCTACTGACACACTGCAGCAAAATATATAAATAACTGACTTAATACCTTTTTTTGGTGAAAATATTAGCGTGCCTAAGACTTTTGCACAGTACTGTATATATCCCAACTAGTAGTAGTTAATTTAAGACATCAGTCGACTAGTCCCACGTTTATGATATTAATTTAACTACCTAAATACATACTGGGGGGTGGCATTGAAAAATGTTTTGAGTTTCAGGGCTGAGAAAGAATATAATATGTAACATTTCTAACATTGTAAAGTAAACACGGCCATGTAAAGTGTCTACTTGCATGCATAAAATAAGCCATGTTTGATGTCGATGAATGAAAGGCGAACGTTTGGATTTCCTGCCCGGCATAATTACCACATGGACCGGCCGTGTTAACGATCTGTGAACTGCATGAATTCAATTCCTGTGGAGTTTTATTTACATTTTTTTAAATAAAAAAAAATTTTCAAGCCACTTTTACGGGTTTAATTTTATAAATAATATAAACATTTTTCAATTGTAGTCTTTTAAAAAGGCATAATAAGCTAAGTGCAATGTAGTGCTGTCAGAAATCTCGATTTTCGATAGATATCGATACAAAAATATCTGAAACGCTTCCAATATCTGAAATACTTCCACTTTCTGTCTCTCTCATCTCTCCGACAGCGAGCTACACACAAACCTCCTCACTCACTCGCTCGTTTCATTTGCTCCGAATGAATATTCCTGCTGTTAAAAGGCTTGAATTTGTGTGTGGGATTGCGCATAATTTTACTCATTCCCACAGATTTTGTGCTCACACCCAAAGTGCGGCACATGAAGCCGCCTCTCAGTACTAGCACTTTTTCCGCTGCTTATTGCGCTTAAACAGTCAAATAAACACAAAATCATGTCCAAATGCCGGTGGTGGCGAGTATTCACGTAAACACAGTCAGTTGTTTTAAGTGAGCGTAAAGAGTTGAGAAAGAAAACGCATGTGTAACAGAATAATGGATCCATTTGTCAGTTAAAGTGTCTGCAGGTTTTGAGATAATAGCTCAAATTATGAGAGAATATTAGAAATATCTCAGTGTTTCCCCTAGGATTTTCTTTCAAAGGGGGGGGGGGGGGGGGGGCTGTGAAACTGCTAGTGTTGCGTAGCGGGCGTGTGACGGATACGTGGTGTAAATTTTTTAGCTATCAAAAAGCTTGTCTAATTAATTGAAATAATGTATTATGAATCATTAAACTTATACAACATTTAAAAAAATATATGAAAATAAATTTCACTAACTCTGTGTTGTGTTTTTTCTGGTAATAAAATGAAGACATAAAACACAAATTTTATCATTTATCATCAATTTTAATCATTTGAAATTAAATAAACTTTTTGTCAAATAACGTGCTGCACAATGAGCTTTACTGTTAAAATTAAAACATGGATTATCCCTTAAAAAAAACTGAATTTTGATGATAATTTATTTGGATTAGTGTTAGTATTATTACATTGGGACATATCTAAGTTCTACTGTTCAACGGTAATATATTTCTGTCAAGTTAAACCGAACTTTTATTTTGACGGGTTGCCGTGAAGACCTTTTGAGTTTCTGTGTGTTTATGTCATAATGATAGTTTTTCTCAAATGAAGCGGTGAAATGATCACGAAGTGACTTTCGGAGTGGATCGAGAGCCTGGAGAGGAAGTTCATGCATTTGTGTCTTCATATAGGCCAAAAAACAGCGCAAGCGTCACACGTGCTTCAGTGTGTGTGTGTATGTGTGTGGCGGGCCGCCCCCCTAAAACAATGGTAGGGGAAACACTGTATCTATAATATTTTGCCCCCATGGTTTCGATGTCAAAATTGTGGCCACTGAAAATGCTGAGAAGCCAGTAACTTTGAAAAAAAACAAAGCAAAAAAAAGTTAATTTCAAGCCCTGTATGTTATATACAAATAATATTGTTTCCATAATTGTTGGAAGACAAAATTGTATTAATTGCCCAGCCCTTACGAACTATGTGTTTTTAAGAACGATGTGGAGGTGAAGCTTGGCTTCATCCAGCTGAGATGTGCAGAAGTGGCTCAGGAGCTGGAGAGACCGTGTGTGTACACAGCTGTGGTGGCAGTCTGCAAACCAGCTGTGAAGAAGAAAACCAGTTCGTTTGTGTGTCAATCAGTGCCACGTGAAACCCTGTTAGAGAGAGCAGACGGGCCGGCAGCTTATCTGAGATGCAGAACTCAATCTCCCCACGGACCTGCGGACTTTCAGCAGGTGGAGGAGACGTAATCAGAGGAACACACTTATGGCAGAGAAAACGATCCGAACACGCCAGCAGTCCTGCCAAAAACTGATATTGTTGGTTTGAGAGAATGCTACCAGATGGCGAAACAGACAGAAGAACGCGTTCAGAGCCGCCAATGTCTTCGCCACCAGAGTCAAGTGAGAAGATGAGGTTGGAATGGAGCTAATAAACTTTCAGGATGAAGACAAAGTGGTGCAAATACAATTCAAACTTCGCAAAGTGATTTTCCAATGAAATCCCTCCTTTATATCTTTGCATTCGGTCTCTCTGCAATTTCTGACCGGTAGATCGTTTGCTTTATTCTGAAACGGGGATTAAATCTATTTGCAATGTTGCATTTTCTTCTTGGTTTCGGTTCGCTTTCACAAGGCAACATCTTACGTCCGCGAGTAAACTGTCCTCTCATTGGTCAGAGTGCACCTTCATCTCCTGAATTTCCAGTCTTGTGGAGTAAATCCCAAACATTAATGTTTTTAAGCCTTCTCTCGGCACTGTTCCAGAGCCCATCTCTTTGAGACGCTCGGTTAAAAACCCTTTTTCATGTGTTTTGGACAGTTGTTCTGATACATGTTTGTCCGACCAAATTTCTGTTAGGCATTTCACTTTTTGTTTTGCTAATGTTATTAGCCGATAACTGGGAAGCTTCACCGTTAAAGGAATAATTCCGTCATTCACTCAGTCTTTGCAGTAATCCGTGACTCACTTAGTTGTTTATATATGTTGGTGGTGTTCTGCAAACTTGTATGAATGAACCCTATAGGGAGCGATTGACGAAGTCAGACTTGTCACCTAGCAACCCATTAATATGTGCCAAATTACACGCAAGCACCATTTGCTATATGAGGCGTTTTAAAGCACCAGTTCAGACAAAGTGACTGAGTGCTTCTATTTAAAGAAAACGTCAGACTGATTGACGGTTCTTATTAATAATACGTTTGCCAGGTCAATTAAAATGTCCGTTCGTGTTCTTAAATGCCCAGCAGGAAATGGGCTTACAATCACTGGTGAAACTTTCCAGCTCATGTCTACAGATCACTGCATCGCGGCTCCTTCACAGGCTCCTCGGGTCTGTTGAATTAAAGTCCACAGATAAGCACACCCAGCCATGGATGGATGGATGGATGGATGGATGGATGGATGGATGGATGGATGGATGGATGGATGGATGGATGGATGGATGGATGGATGGATGGATGGATGGATGGATGGATGGATGGATGGATGGATGGATGGATGGATGGATGGATGGATGGATGGATGGATGGATGGATAGATAGATAGATAGATAGATAGATAGATAGATAGATAGATAGATAGATAGATAGATAGATAGATAGATAGATAGATAGATAGATAGATAGATAGATAGATAGATAGATAGATAGATAGATAGATAGATAGATGCTTTACACGAGGGAAGAAGTGGAGAGATTGGGCCTGGGATTTGTGGTTTTGTAAGCAATATGACAATTTAGCATCTCCTGACAGAGAGTTTAGTCAACATTAGCATGTAGATGACCTTAAAACTAGCAGATGTAGACAAAAGTAGGGCCCATTGATTTCTGTATAACACGGAATTTCATGGAATTTGTTAAATATTTATCCATAAATAATAAGCAGGTCAGTACACTTGAATCAAATTGCGATATACACTAGTGTCTGAATGTTAAACTGCAAAACGGCAACCTGTCAAAATAAAAGTTTGGTTTAACCTGAAGACATTATGACTTTTGTACTGTAGAATATAGCCACGTCTCAATGTAATAATAATACTAACACTAATAATAATAAATTATTATTAAAACTTTTGTTTTTGAAGGAATAATCACAATTTTTCTTCCACGTTTTAATTTTAAAGCAGTAAAGTTCTGTTGTGCACTTTGTTTGACAAAAAAAAATTGTTTAATTTCATATGATTAAAAGATCAATTTAAATGAATGTTTTATGCCTTCATTTGATTGCCGGAAAAAATAAAAACTTTGATTTTTTTAATAAAAAATGGTGGGGGTGGGGGAACATTTAATAGAAAAAAATGGTTGTTTTTATGAATTCAATTAATTAGACATGCTTGATTTAGCCATTAAAATGGAGTCCAAAAAAATCAAAACAAATGAAAACGGAAAAAACAGGATTTGGGAAAAAATAAAACGGATTTCATAGGGCCGTAACTAAAGCCACAAAACTCCACTTTTGATTTCATGGGGTCTTCAAAGGCCCGTCACTGCCGCCATTGACGCTTTGCTTTTGTAATAAATTCACCACCTTTAGCCATAAACTTTACAGCAATTACTGACCGACTTTAAATCCCCTGACCTGCTGTGAATGGCGTTCCTATGCTCTTGTATTAATCTGTAGGTTATTTAGCTTATTTATTCAGATGTCCTATTGAAATAGACATGTCGGATGGAACCTAAAAGTGCTTAAAGATACGATATGTTCAACTAGTCTTTTTTTCTACCTGAAATGAAGGTTATTTGTGGTTCTTTGCTGCGCTGGATTCAAGTGTCTGGGGCGTTTTTGACGTTAGATTACATGTTCTTCGGACCTTTAAAGAATCACCACAGAGATGATTTACTACAAAACCAGCCAATACAGTTCTCTTAATAGAGCTTAAAATGCTTCTCGGATCATTTTTTTTATTTTATTTTTTTACTTTGCTGGAAAACCTGTTTCACACAATAAATCATCTGATTTATAGTTTATATGTTTTTAGCACGTAAAATACCTTTTAGTGTAATTGTAAATGCATTCCTCTTTAGGTCGTGGTTCACGCGTATTTCCGCTGTGAAATCGTTACTGATTTTTTTATAAAATAGACTTAAAAATCACGTTGAAATGTATCAAATATGATCCTTCGGGCTTTTGAGGAACGTTTATCCGTCCATCTCTCGATCATCATTGTATTCCATTGCATTATATGTTTTAAAACTACAGCGCTTTGATCATAAAACTAAGCATTTATAAATCATCTCACTAAGTTTGAGAGATAGAGTGACAACTGATATTTATATGCATTTTATATAAGGATCTGCTATACTGTGATATACTCATTCTCATTGATGATTTACATCACAAGCTTACAAGCTTTTATCTTACTTTTTGGCATATACATATCAGCAACTGCACCAAATTGCATATTTCTGCTCAGTTTAGGCCTCTGAATAAGAGTGAGGTGTTTCACTACATCACACTATATGAGCCACGAAAGCCTGATGTATCAGATATAATATAAAACATAAAACACGAATGCTTTTTTCAGATTCTCTGCTGGTACGCTTTGATCAGAGAGGAGTGTTTTTAAAGCTGCATGTTCAGAGTTTACATACAAGCTGCTATTTGTCTTTCCCCGTGCCTTTCAGGGGTGGAGCCCATTCTAGTCATTGAGTTTCCTATCTATATTTACATTCCCTCAGATTATAAGCACATAAAGTCCTGTGGAGAACACTCACACCAAGACAAACACTGCCATTGTGTTTGAAGTAATGACAGGCTATGTGCATTTGATGACCTCACACCGCCACACGTTCACATGTCGGCCCTACACTTGGACTTCCTTTCTGAGAATCCAATACAACTCTCCATGTTCAAATTGCTTTAAAAACGCTTCTCTCAGTGTTTTATGTGCCAACATTTTCCACACTGTGTTCAGTAAACACAGTGTGGACATTTATAACATGTATAACCGATAAAAGCATCCACTCTTTTTTTCCATGTTAGTGATTTATGCCGTCTGTCTGTGTGTGTTTTTACAGGCGGGGCTGGTTTCCATCATCTTACTGTCGTGCATTCACAGAGCCAGCAGTAAATAACAGGTAATCAGATACCACACACACACACACACACTAACATGGTTCTTTGTTGTCCTGATTAGCTCTGATACTGATCGCTGCGCCTCGGAAGAGGAGGAAACACAAGCTCCACAGCAGTCAAGCCCTATTTTAAGACTTTTACAGCAATTATCTCAAAAACCACATCCTCAGATGTTAGATTCTTTCTGTATTGCATGGATCAACAAAAGGCGGGAAAGAAGCTTGAAAAAAAAAAAAAAAAAGGGTGTGTGTTTTCAAACAGGTTTCCTGAACACTCCCCATATTCATTTAGGGCTCGAATTTCGGCGCGGGATTGCGCATAATTTTAATCACACATTATGCGTATTGCGCATAATTTTAATCACTCATTATGCGTATTGCGCATAATTTTAATCACTCATTATGCGTATTGCGCATTATTTTAATCACTCATTATGCGTATTGCGCATTATTTTAATCACTCATTATGCGTATTGCGCATAATTTGAATCACTCATTATGCGTATTGCGCATAATTTTAATCACTCATTATGCGTATTGCGCATAATTTTAATCACTCATTATGCGTATTGCGCATTATTTTAATCACTCATTATGCGTATTGCGCATTATTTTAATCACTCATTATGCGTATTGCGCATAATTTTAATTACTCATTATGCGTATTGCGCATTATTTTAATCACTCATTATGCGTATTGCGCGTAATTTTAATCACTCGTTATGCGTATTGCGCATAATTTTAATCACTCGTTATGCGTATTGCGCATAATTTTAATCACTCATTATGCGTATTGCGCATCACTCATTATGCGTATTGCGCATTATTTTAATCACTCATTATGCGTATTGCGCATTATTTTAATCACTCATGCGTATTGCGCATTATTTTAATCACTCATTATGCGTATTGCGCATAATTTTAATCACTCATTATGCGTATTGCGCATAATTTTAATCACTCATTATGCGTATTGCGCATAATTTTAATCACACTATGCGTATTGCGCTTAATTTTAATCATTCATCATGCGTATTGCGCATAATTTTAATCACTCATTATGCGTATTGCGCATAATTTTAATCACTCATTATGCGTATTGCGCATAATTTTAATCACTCATTATGCGTATTGCGCATAATTTTAATCACACTATGCGTATTGCGCATAATTTTAATCACACTATGCGTATTGCGCATAATTTTACACACTTATTATGCGTATTGCGCATAATTTTATTCACTCATTATGCGTATTGCGCATAATTTTAATCACACTATGCGTATTGCGCATAATTTAAATCACTCATTATGCGTATTGCGCATAATTTTAATCACTCATTATGCGTATTGCGCATAATTTTAATCACTCATTATGCGTATTGCGCATAATTTTACACACTATGCGTATTGCGCATAATTTTACACACCTATTATGCGTATTGCGCATAATTTTAATCACTCATTATGCGTATTGCGCATAATTTTAATCACACTATGCGTATTGCGCATAATTTTAATCACTCATTATGCGTATTGCGCATAATTTTAATCACTCATTATGCGTATTGCGCATAATTTTAATCACTCATTATGCGTATTGCGCATAATTTTAATCACTCATTATGCGTATTGCGCATAATTTTAATCACTCATTATGCGTATTGCGCATAATTTTAATCACTCATTATGCGTATTGCGCATAATTTTAATCACTCATTATGCGTATTGCGCATAATTTTAATCACTCATTATGCGTATTGCGCATAATTTTAATCACACTATGCGTATTGCGCATAATTTTATTCACTCATCATGCGTATTGCACATCATTTTAATCACTCCCACAAGTCTCTCACTTATAATGCAGGAAATTCCCGCAAACATTCATTCACTTTAGCATGTAGGTTGTATGAGTAAATGAATTCACACAGGTTATAAAATCAAATCAGTCATTTTTCTGCGAGACGCAATTTCACAAACAGTGTGAGTGATTCAGCGGTGCTGCGTCTCTCTCTCTCTCTCTCTCTCTCTCTCTCTCTCTCTCTCTCTCTCTCTCTCTCTCTCTCTCTCCGTCGCAGTGTTGCATCATCACCAAAGTTTATCATTTGCACGTCTTTTTAAGTCTTACCTATTTAAACATTCAAGCGATTTTTAACTATTCAGTACTTGCGCGCTCTCTGAAAGATGGTTTTCTTCGTGGACATACATAAGGCCGCATCATAAACGGCTCGCTGTGAGTTATTTTTAGTGGATTTTAGCGATTTAATTTGTATTAAATTATGTAAAAATTCCGGTCTTAGTGAGTATCCTCGTAAACACAGTCGGTTATGTCTTAAATAAACAAAAAACGCATAATGAAAATAGTATAATGGATCCATGCACTAGCTCTTAAAGTGACACCATGTGTCTGTCGTTAATGTCGATAAAACAACAAAAGATGGCTTTAATTGTAAGAAATGAATATTAATAGCCTATGTATATAATTTAGTCAGGACTAAAAGACTATCTAGTGTTAGTTTACATGTAATTACTTTATTCAGTGTCTGTAGTATTTCTGAATGCTAGTGTTAGACCTAAAAACTTTCCTCTTTATTTCTCTTTATTTGTATCTTTATTCTATATTGTATTTATTTGTGCTTCTTTTTTCAATTTAATTCTAAGATTGAAATCAAGCTTCCTTGTGTTGTGTAAACTCTTAACAACAAAATTACCCCATTGCAAAAACACAATGAGTCATAAAAATAAAAAATAAAAATATACCGCCCATAAGAATCCCCTAAGGCGGGAATTCCCCCCCATTTTCCAAAACGAAATTCAGGCCCTGTCCACTTGAACAGTCGATGCAATATTGCTGTAAAGGCATAGTCCACCCAAAAAATTTAAATTCTGTCATTTACTCACCCTGATGTTGTTCCAAAAGCAAAGGAATATATTCTGAACAATATTGGTAAACATACAGTTTCGGTTCCCATTGACTTCCATCGAATGGCCCAAAAAATACAATGGAAGTCAATAGGAACCGAAAAGGTTTGTTTACCAACATTGTTCAAAATATCGTCTTTTCTGTTTGACAGTTCCTACAGGTTTGGAACAACATGAGGGTGAGTAAATAATGACAGAATTTAATTTTTTTGATTTTTGGTTCAATTATTTTAATTAGCTGCAGATTTCCCACACTCTCTGACTGTCATGCTGTCAGCAGAGAGTGAAACACTAGAAATAGGCTTACCCAGACTGACCCAGGAGTGCTTTATAAGACTTCTAATCCTTTGTGCTCTTTCCCACTGATGTTATTCACAGTGTGTGTGTGTGTGTGTGTGTGTGTGTGAGGTCAGATCATGCATCTACCTCAGCTGATGTTTGCTTGAAGAACACAAGACTTGATGCTTTCTGATGTCAAGTGAAATCCTATCCTTTTGGACCCTGAGGGGTCCCTGTAATGCCTGATCAAAAAGCCTTTTGTGTTGCTGATTATGAATGGTAGCATGTTGGAAAAACGCTGCAAACACTCACGACACAACCAAATAAACACACACTACAAATGCTCACAACGCAACCAAATACAGAAAACATGCTGCAAAATACTCAAAACGCAACCAAACGCGTTGTAAATTTTAACATCCTGGTTGTATGTGAGTACCGTAATTCCTCAAATAAATACCGGTATTCAAATAAACGCCGGGCCTCTGATAGTGGCCGGGTGCGTGATCAACGCGGGCAAATAAAGGCCGGTCTCAAATTAAGGCCGGGGGAAATCTAGTGTCGATAATCTCCTAAATGCCTTTCATTGAAGAGATGTTACACCTGTCCACTTCATGCGTGTTCTGTGATCTGATCGTGAAAAGACCAGGTATAAATGCCATCCGAAGCGCATTCGAGACCATTTAAATCCGAATCGCTCAAACCGCTTCTTCAGGAGGAGATCTGAGACGAGATTCCAGACGAAACTGCACAAGTGTAAATCAAATGCATCTGATTGTTGAAACCACGTATCTAAATTTTACTCCTCCCAAAAACGCTAAAAAATAAAAGTGTGAGAGCGTGTTATAGGCTATGTAATGTTATAGCAAGATGTGACAACGCTACTGCAACACGCATCACGGCAGCTGAGCATCTATTCATAAAGCCAACGTGCAAACTATTGCGAATTAAAGTGAAAGTAAGTCGCAGACAATTCTCCTCATCATTAAAAGTAAAGAAACGAAATGATCTTACCAGGGTTGTTGTCGCTCTCTCTTATTGCGGTCTTTTGATTTAGAAATAAGCTGATCTATCAAATGCAGCTCATATCTGTTGCTTTCGGTGACGTGCACTCCATTAAATCTGCATATAGCGCGATTTATATCCGTTTTGCGAAAACGCATTTGTGAGCAGATTTAAGTAGAATTGTTTTGATAAATCAGATCTGAGAAAACACATGAAGTGGCCAGGTGTAAACATCCCCTAATATGCATTCAAGTTCATCATAACGTACAGCCAATAGATGGTAGTAGACAATAGATGTAACACAGATATCATTTAGTGCTGCTAGTGTAACGGTCTTTTCAACAACTTTATTGAAAACGAAATTGTCTTGAGGAGCATATGGAACCCAGACTGAAATTTGATTTTGATTTTTTTTTTTTTAAATAAAGGCCTGCCTCTAATAAAAGCCTGCTTCAAATAAAAGCCTGTTACCTTCTGCAGTTTAGGTAAATAAAGGCCCCGGCTTTTATTTGAGGAATGGTAAATGGACTGCATTTATATAGCGCTTTCACAGACCCAATGGCCACCAAAGCGCTTTACAATTTGCCTCACATTCACCCATTCATTCATACACCGACGGCGGTGTCAGCCATACAAGGCGCCATCCAGCTCGACACTTGGTCAGGTGGAACCGGGGATTGAACCACCAACCTTCCGGTTTGTAGACAACCTACATGAACCACTGAGCCACTGTCGCCCCGCGAATTATGTTAATGGTGTTTTCTTAATTTGCTGGTGTTTTTTTCTTTTTCGATTTGCATGTTTTCTTCAGTTGCCACCGTAGATTTCCCTTGATACCACCCAAAGTGGTATCTGTGGATTAACTATACATTATTTGTTAGAGTACTAATAAATGCAGAAGGATAAAGGATAGGATCAGTGTTCTGATGGGGACTTGATTGTTTGTTGCAGTATTGTTGGAAACCCTCCGATGCGCAGTAAGAGCGTGGCCAACCTCATGCACCAGGACCCAGAGGACTACATGATGGCTCTGCCTCCAGCGGACTACAGCGACCCGCCCGCCAGGAGAAACTCCACCAAGAGTCTGATGCAGACATACACCCCACACACTGGAAACTCGGTCAGTCTTCTTCATCTTCCTCTATACACACACTCAATGCTGCTTTTGGGTTGTATTCCCATCACTCTAGGCTCATAGAGTCTGTCAGACTATGGTTGATCTTTGTTTGACTTGTGCTTGTCGTCTCGCAGGCGATTAAAATAGGCAAAAAATCCCATTTACTCGCATTGAAAAGTGGTGAGAGGGTGTAAATAACCTCCCAGGACACATAGCACTATGGCTGTGAGTTTCCATTGGCAAGCATCAAAAAGTACAAGTCTATTTAAGCTCTAAATGCAGTTATTAATAGGGTAGGCTGTGTTCATTTAATTTAGCTCAGAACATTTGAAGCTCATGTGAAGTCCTCTCAGGTATAGGTGTGGGTATAAATGTGTCACAGGCCGTGCCGTGTATTATCGGCAGACGCTTTTATCCATTGGTTTTCAATGTTCACACATTCACATTCTTAACAATTCTTCCTTTCCCTGGGAATCGAACCCATGACGCCAACGCTCTATGTTTGAGCTACAGGAAAGCTACAGTCGTAGTTCTTGTGTCTGAGTGGATCAGAGGATCAGGATCACTTTAAAGAGGATTGCCGGTGGAGCAAAGCTAAATCCAAACTGCTCACATAGACGAGTGTCAAAAAAATCTACCCATTCAAACCCACCAATCCCACTGTTTATTCTGACCTCATGAGACCGAGTCGTTGTTTGTCAGATGTCGCTGACAGATCATATTACAAATTGTTATGGGAGTGGGAGATGAGTAATGCAATTCACTTAGTTTTGCTGGAAATTCAACTCCCTAATGTATTTATTACATAAGCATGTACTAGTAACATCTACGTGGTTATGTTATGTAATGTATACATAAATATTTAATTAAAACATTTAAGAAACTTCCAGCAGAACTTAAAAGCTGCAAACCCAAAGATAAGATCATTCATAACAAATAAATGATGTGTCTGACATATGAGCAAAACCAGCTTCACATTATGAAGCACTTGTTTAAAGCCAAGACTCAAAACTGCATGATACAAAGATTGGACACATTTGGTAGTAAACGCACACCTACAGACCTGTGACACGTGACCACACATCAGTTGAACTCAATATTAATACACCATATTGCTTGACTATGTTTACACCGGACAGCATGGCCTGAGGATCAATACGAAATCACTCCCATTTTAATTAGGGATGTGATGGTGGAAGTTGGTAATGGAGCAACTACCGGCGGTGGATATCTTAATTAAAATCATTTTGATATTAGGCCATGAGACGGGACCCCAAATTTGGGCTACCGGTACCATTTTGAGGGATTAAATTTCTTTTTGATTTTCATGAAGGTACACATCTCTAGTGTTGGAAAATGTGTGATAGCATCCGATCCATGGTAGCTTTCATTAGAAATCAACACTTATATCATCCTACCTCAAGGTAAGGTGTTCAGTGACTACAAGAGAGAAAAATTTATCCTTTTATAATAAAAAAAAAAAAAAAAAAAAATTATAAAATTTATTTAAAGATAAATTAATTTATCCTTTTTCTTTACATATGTTTGAAAATCGTCCTCCGTAACCAAAAACTACCTTGAATCTAATGCTATCACACATTTTTCAAATACAGGGTCATATACCTACACAAAAATCACCATGCGGTTTAATCCCTCAAAATGGTACCAATTAACCCTCTGTCTCACGGCTTATATGTAAGAAAATAAATAAGCAAGGCTCAACATCCATTTCGTAACAGATGTGCGTGTTTATTTTAACACTTCCGTCAGTGAAAACACACACTACAGTCTGTTAAACATTAAAATAAATATCAGTAAATAATAGTAACCTAATTTTTTCATTCGTTTTATATTTCCCCACAAGATGTGTCATATAGTCTACCGCTCTGCGCAAAAAAAAAAAAAGCGAGTGTGCATTCAAACGATTTAATAGCGCTTTTGAATGCAGCGATTCAAATTCAAATTACCCAACTATATAATTGGGAGAGAACACAAAAGCATTGAAATATAGTTTTTCTTCCCATCTCATCATTTTTCTTTTATGAACATACTTTTCTAATGGTCAAAGATAGTGGGGAAAATAGGCAGCTTTAGATTGGCTGCGTCTGAAAATTGCATTTCTCTACTTTATAGGAAAACAGCATGTGAAAATAGTATGTCCAAATTCATAAAACTAGGCTACTTCTAAAAAACTACTACTTTTGGCGAGATTCTGAAGTGGACATGACAACATTATGATGAAGTCCAGACTATATTCATACTTTTCTAACATGCACAAAGTAATTATTTCTAACTGAACCTGTAATCGCATCTTTTGAATATGCAGCTAACACATGAATATGACGAGATATCCTCAAACATGGTAGCCCATTTCATTTGCATGCATGCAAACACGCGAGGCAGAACTGTGGGCAGGGACGCGTTCCTACCAATGGATGTAAATGATGCTGTTTTGTTTATTCCCAGAAGTTCCTGTGTTTAATTCGCCCACAGCGATTTCACACGAGCAGCGCGTTACGTAAAGCCAGCAACGCAACACCAGCACTGTGTCTTGTCACGGTCCACGTCTATTGTATTATGCTCATGCTAATTTTAGTGGTAGGGCAAGTCTAATGAGACCCGGGGTGAACTCTTTCCAGGTGTTCGTCTAATGAGGTCTAATGCCTCTGGAAAAGCCACCTGTGGCTGTGTAGTGTAATTTGCTTGGAGGAAGCCCTGATTTGTGATATTTGTGGGGTGCGGGTGTCAATGACCAGGCTGTGAAAGTGGATACTGCTCTCTCTGGACGCGGTGAAATATTCATCGCTCACCAAATCCTCCAGCGAGCCACACACACACACATCCGGGCCACGGCTCAACCTTTCCGATGGAATTCCACACACTTCAACTTCAACCCGAAACCTGTTTCAAAGCGCTCGCAGATCCACACTTTCATTTGCCCCGTCGGCACCACGACTGTGGCTCACCTCCTGATACTGTGCACACAATAGCGGCAGATCTGTAGGTGTGAAGCCCCGTTGTTCGGCACCTGTCCTCCCTGCCGAGGCTTGGCGAGGGACTCGTGCCATGCAATTACTCAAGCCAAGCTCGTCTCTCTCCACCCTGGAAAGCCGGGGTTAACGCGGACACTCATCGTAAAAGCTCCCTGTATTAGTAGCTGTTAAGCAGGAAAGGAGATCTTCCCGTTCAAGCGAAGCAGAGGCTGTATTTTTCCACACACAGTGTTTTATCCGGGTCTTGAACGCTCACAGGTGAAGAAGGCATTGTGAAAAATGCTCCCTACCTGGTTTTATGAGTGTGTGAAAGAAAAAGATGTGAATTTCACTGTTTTCAATGACACTGTACATCTGAACGCACAACTGTAGTGTCTAACCAGATTAAGACGATTTATACGTCCATGTTGATGATATAGACCAGATCTGGCTGGATATGCACAGCTGGACGACAGCATTAGACTGATATGATGCCAGATGCCCACTAAGTGAATGAAGAGGCATGTCTTGCCTGTGTACGGGTATTGAGGTGCACGACTGCCCTCTGGTGGAGATCTCACACACACTGTCATCACTGTTGCACAAGTACCGCTGTTACTCATGCTCAAGGTTACGCATTCCAGCAAATCACTTCAGTTCATCTTGTGCTGCGAACATGAATGATGCCTCAAATTGTGAGTTGATCAGACTTGGGGTTTTCACCTTGGGAACAGTGAAATGAGGAAAACAATCCCACAGATTTACAACAAAGGAGAGACTGAAGTAGAGCTGCATGTTTTCTGATAAAAATTGCATTTTAAAATGATTTATATTATTATTATTATTATTACTAACTAAAAAATCTTAAACAAAACAGGGAACACTACTATTGTAATATTTCTCTGTAAAATAAAGAGAGTATTTTATAAAATACAGGTTTATTTTACAGTGTGACTAAAATTACAAACAAAACTAATATTTATGGCTGTCTTCATTTCATTTTCAATCAGAAACCATCTAAAAAAAAATTAAAATGAGAAAATCTGATTTAATTTTTTTAAAGCTCCAGATTTGCTGTCCTTGTTTGTAGAGCTGCACTATTTTGCCAGAATTTTTTTAATTTATATATCAATATGACAATATAATAACAATTATTATTATTAATAAATAAAACTATTTAACAAAACAAGGAATATTACTATTGTGATATTTAAGTGTAACATAAAAAAAATTGTATTGAAGAAAAACTTTTTTTTGTGTGCTGTCAAACGATTAAAATATTTAAGCGCAATTAATCGCATTAATGTCATAGTTAACTCGCAATTAATCGCACATTTTTATCTATTCTGAATGTCTCTTGATTTCTTTTTGTCCCTTTATTTTTTCCTCATTTTAATGCTCTTATCAACATGGAAAAGTGGATCGGCTTGCTTTGTGCAAGTGTTTTTTTATTGAAAACAACATTGACAATACTGTGTTCAATTTCACACTAACATTCTCACTTGGAGCAAATAATCTCTCACACAATGTAACACTGTCCATCAATAAAAGGGTGAAAGAAATACTGACGAGGTCCTGATATTGACGAGGGGGCGGAGCTTCACATCAGCTGTGTGTGTGTGTGTGTGTGTGTGCTTGGCCATCATCAAGTGGTATTTCAGACTGGACGTGCTGCGATGACGATAGCTCAGTTCACAACGACAAAACACACAGATCACTTTGGTCTCGTCAATGGGACCGTTTGGCAACTTTTTAAAAGTAAACTTTCCATTCAGAATCTTATTGGCATCCATTTCGGCGTCTCGCGCTCGTCATCCACTCAAAACTTAACGTTAACCAACTATTTGGCCGGCTCGCAAGCCCAAACAAGTGTGTGCGGCGTGCCTGTTGTTTTGTTTCCGGTCTAGCTAGATCCGCTTGCGCTTTGGTCGACAAAGCAACAAAATGAATTGAAATGAATGGATTTCATAGCGCAGCGCCGCGTCCTGTTGCAAAAGCATGTGAAAAAAACGACAAAAAAGTTTGCTAGGCCAAAAAGACCGTAAATCGCGCAATAAAAAAATTGACGCCGTTAAAATGGGTTTGCGTTAACGCCGTTAATAACGCGTTTAACTGACAGCCCTACTTTTTTTATAAATTACAATATAAACGTAAATGAACACAATGCCGCACTTGACTCTGAAACACACGGAGCATATATTTTTCAATTAAATCCCAGCCTTTGATTTTATCACGATTTTGTCCCGCTCCATCATGCAGCCCCACACTGAAGTCGTATCGAGAGGTCGATATCACAGAGATCAGTGGATGGACTCTTGCCATCAGTCGGTAAACAACCACCTAGAACCACAACACAATGTTTTAATGTCTGCTTTTAAATTTGCATCTTGTGATATTTTGAGTATTGCTTTGTTTATTGATTCCATCTCTTATGCATGCGTTTTGCATATGCATGTGAGGTATAAAATTGCACGCAAAAAAAATTCAAGACAGCATAATGAAAGACTTTCACTCGTACCAGATCGCGTGCGCTTTTATAGCCGTCGCAACAGTCACACGGCTTTAACGTACTCGTGTTTCCAGCAGGGCTAGATTCCAGACGTTCAGTGAGCTCAACTCTTCCTGTTAGACGTCAAACCTGAATGACTGCTGGATGTAGGAGTGTCTGACCTTCCACACTATTTAGAGCAGCTCCGATGTTTCTTTTATTGATGGGAAGCTTCTCATTATATAATCAGACTGTGTTTTACTAATAGTGCTCAGAGTGGCGCACTACCATACTATTTAGAATATGTCTGCATTATATTAGAAGTGAATGCACATTATGAAACATTTCAGTGTGCATGGAATACATAAATGATCCACTACATTTGCCGAAAATGTACATCCAAAGCACACTGTGTGAAATACTGTAATATGTAGTGCACTCTACTTGACCTTCCATTTCCAGTGTGATTTAAAGGAACTAGAAGCAATTAATCATGTTTCATGCAGATTAGACATCCAAATGTTAAGAAATGCATGTACAAAATTGGATTAAATAGACAAATATGCTTTTCTTTTCTTTTTTTTTATGGAAAAAAATAACTGTGTTCCACTTGCTGAATTAAACATGGAACAAAATGAGGTCAAGTAACAACAAAGAAGCACATTACTAGTTGAAACTTTTATTGTCACATACTTGTTTTTGAGTATCGAGTATACAGTATAAACTCTACAGTACTGCTAGTATGAGTGTCTTTCTCAGACTCTTACTCTTAAATGTTATTCGCCCACTGAGACGAACACACTCCTGGCCATCTGCTCATCACTGAGATGATGGATCGCGGTCTACTGTGTAGTGTGTAGATGTGTGACATGTCCTGCTCTTTGTTTCCTGTAGGTCCCTCTGTCAAACGGGCTGCCGAAGCATCCCATCCTAGGGTGAGTATTAATGGATCACGTTTGGTGTCTGTCCTCCATGCTTGTGATGTGACTCGACTAGTGAATTGATATGCAATTAAAAGATTTTTGACAGTGATTTATTCACTTCCAATCAGTGGAGAGCAGCTACACAGGCTTAGGACGTTCATCTCTTGCTGCATAATGGGGAAAAAAATAAAAAATAATCTTTACACACTAGAATATCGTAGTTTTGGGGCTAGTAACCAGCCCGAACACCCCATCAACTGCATAGCGACACACTTTTAACTATTCAGAGCCAGACTAGACTGTTAAAAAGATGGGTCACGTGTCTCCAAATGAAGCCAAAATATCCCAGAAATGGCCTTTGACATTGTGCGCCGATGACGTCATTGGGAGTCTCGATGACGTCATTGGGAGTCTCGATGACGTCTTTAGGAGTCTCGATGACGTCTTTAGGAGTCTCGATGACGTCTTTAGGAGTCTCGATGACGTCTTTGGGAGTCTCGATGACGTCTTTGGGAGTCTCGATGACGTCTTTGGGAGTCTCGATGACGTCTTTGGGAGTCTCGATGACGTCTTTGGGAGTCTCGATGACGTCATTGGGAGTCTCGATGACGTCTTTGGGAGTCTCGATGACGTCTTTGGGAGTCTCGATGACGTCATTGGGAGTCTCGATGACGTCTTTGGGAGTCTCGATGACGTCTTTGGGAGTCTCGATGACGTCATTAGGAGTCTCGATTACGTCATTAGGAGTCCCGATGACGTCATTAGGAGTCTCGATGACGTCTTTAGGAGTCTCGATGACGTCTTTAGGAGTCTCGATGACGTCTTTAGGAGTCTCGATGACGTCATTGGGAGTCTCGATGACATTAGGAGTGTCGATGACGTCTTTAGGAGTCTCGATGACATCTTTAGGAGTCTCGATGACGTCTTTAGGAGTCGAGTCTCGATGACATCTTTAGGAGTCTCGATGACGTCATTAGGAGTCTCGATGACGTCATTAGGAGTCTCGATGACGTCTTTAGGAGTCTCGATGACGTCTTTAGGAGTCTCGATGACGTCATTAGGAGTCTCGATGACGTCTTTAGGAGTCGAGTCTCGATGACGTCTTTAGGAGTCTCGATGACGTCATTAGGAGTCTCGATGACGTCTTTAGGAGTCTCGATGACGTCTTTAGGAGTCTCGATGACGTCTTTAGGAGTCTCGATGACGTCTTTAGGAGTCTCGATGACGTCTTTAGGAGTCTCGATGACGTCTTTAGGAGTCTCGATGACGTCTTTAGGAGTCTCGATGACGTCATTAGGAGTCTCGATGACGTCTTTAGGAGTCTCGATGACGTCTTTAGGAGTCTCGATGACGTCATTAGGAGTCTCGATGACGTCATTAGGAGTCTCGATGACGTCTTTAGGAGTCTCGATGACGTCTTTGGGAGTCTCGATGACGTCATTGGGAGTCTCGATGATGTCTTTAGGAGTCTCGATGATGTCTTTGGGAGTCTCGATGACGTCTTTGGGAGTCTCGATGACGTCTTTGGGAGTCTCGATGACGTCATTGGGAGTCTCGATGACGTCTTTGGGAGTCTCGATGACGTCTTTGGGAGTCTCGATGACGTCATTGGGAGTCTCGATTACGTCATTAGGAGTCCCGATGACGTCATTAGGAGTCTCGATGACGTCTTTAGGAGTCTCGATGACGTCATTGGAGTCTCGATGACGTCTTTAGGAGTCTCGATGACGTCTTTAGGAGTGTCGATGACGTCTTTAGGAGTCTCGATGACATCTTTAGGAGTCTCGATGACGTCTTTAGGAGTCGAGTCTCGATGACGTCTTTAGGAGTCTCGATGACGTCTTTAGGAGTCTCGATGACGTCATTAGGAGTCTCGATGACGTCTTTAGGAGTCGAGTCTCGATGACGTCTTTAGGAGTCTCGATGACGTCATTAGGAGTCTCGATGACGTCTTTAGGAGTCTCGATGACGTCTTTAGGAGTCTCGATGAAGTCTTTAGGAGTCTCGATGACGTCTTTAGGAGTCTCGATGACGTCATTAGGAGTGTCGATGACGTCTTTAGGAGTCTCGATGACGTCTTTAGGAGTCTCGATGACGTCTTTAGGAGTCTCGATGACGTCATTAGGAGTCTCGATGACGTCATTAGGAGTCTCGATGACGTCATTAGGAGTCTCGATGACGTCTTTAGGAGTCTCGATGACGTCATTGGGAGTCTCGATGACGTCATTGGGAGTCTCGATTACGTCATTAGGAGTCTCGATGACGTCATTAGGAGTCTCGATGACGTCATTAGGAGTCTCGATGACGTCTTTAGGAGTCTCGATGACGTCATTGGGAGTCTCGATGACGTCTTTAGGAGTCTCGATGACGTCTTTAGGAGTCTCGATGACGTCTTTAGGAGTCTCGATGACGTCATTAGGAGTCTCGATGACGTCATTAGGAGTCTCGATGACGTCTTTAGGAGTCTCGATGACGTCTTTAGGAGTCTCGATGACGTCTTTAGGAGTCTCGATGACGTCTTTAGGAGTCTCGATGACGTCTTTAGGAGTCTCGATGACGTCATTAGGAGTCTCGATGACGTCATTGGGAGTCTCGATGACGTCATTGGGAGTCTCGATGACGTCTTTAGGAGTCTCGATGACGTCTTTAGGAGTCTCGATGACGTCTTTAGGAGTCTCGATGACGTCATTGGGAGTCTCGATGACGTCTTTAGGAGTCTCGATGACGTCTTTAGGAGTCTCGATGACGTCTTTAGGAGTCTCGATGACGTCTTTAGGAGTCTCGATGACGTCTTTAGGAGTCTCGATGACGTCATTGGGAGTCTCGATGACGTCATTGGGAGTCTCGATGACGTCATTGGGAGTCTCGATGACGTCATTGGGAGTCTCGATGACGTCTTTAGGAGTCTCGATGACGTCTTTAGGAGTCTCGATGACGTCATTGGGAGTCTCGATGACGTCTTTAGGAGTCTCGATGACGTCTTTAGGAGTCTCGATGACGTCTTTAGGAGTCTCGATGACGTCTTTAGGAGTCTCGATGACGTCTTTAGGAGTCTCGATGACGTCATTAGGAGTCTCGATGACGTCATTGGGAGTCTCGATGACGTCTTTAGGAGTCTCGATGACGTCATTGGGAGTCTCGATGACGTCATTGGGAGTCTCGATGACGTCTTTAGGAGTCTCGATGACGTCTTTAGGAGTCTCGATGACGTCTTTAGGAGTCTGGATGACGTCTTTAGGAGTCTCGATGACGTCTTTAGGAGTCTCGATGACGTCTTTAGGAGTCTCGATAACGTCATTAGGAGTCTCGATGACGTCTTTAGGAGTCTCGATAACGTCATTAGGAGTCTCGATGACGTCTTTAGGAGTCTCGATGACTTCATTAGGAGTCTGCGTACTCCACACTGAGACCTTTTTTTTTTTATGCCGATGTGTCACATTTTCAATCCACAAATCACCAACATTCACCATGGATTTAATGTAGTAACGCTAACTTTAACCATCATATTGAGAGAGAAATAGTCCAATGTTCTTACATTATTCATCTCATGGTTCGTACAACATTTTGAGAGTGAAATTCAAGCACTTTTCAAGCCGTTTTTTAGTGGTTCACACTTTTTTACAGCACTTTCAAAGCTTTAAATATTATCCCATTTAAATGTTAACCGAACATTAGTTGTTTATCCTTCAAAGATTGTTCGCATTTGTAAAAGTTTCAAGATGTAGGAAAACTAACACTTGGTGGCAAACAAACACTTTTATTTAAAAATAAAAAATAAATGAAATTACAACTATAACAAGTAGATGGTGGCAGATGCCATTAGCCATTTCCACTCCCTAAAATACTTTTTTCCACATGTTTTGCTCTTCAATTGGTATTTAGACATTATCAAATCATCAAGAAATACATTTTTGCCTAAGTTTGGTATTGTTTGTCTGCAGGGGAGGAAATCCATTCGCTACGGTAAAACTTCGGCCCACGATCACCAATGACAGATCAGCCCCCGCCATCTGATCGACACCACCGCTGGCCTTCATGCACTACAGTGAACACACACACATTCCCACAGGGCTCGCTGGATTCAGACCGAGACCCTCCGCTGAGGATGCTGGGATTCACAGTAACACACTTAAGCACACAGACACTACATACTGTTGAACCACTATTTATGCCTGTCCCCTTAAAACCTCCCCCCTCTCTCTCTCTCTCTCTCTCTGTGAGGGAGAGAGAGAGAGATAACATATACTAGTTATACATTTTGAATGTGTGTGTATATATAGAGAAAGAATCAATGTATATGCATTTCGCTGTAAGGATCACTAGTCAGAGTGTCATTCTGTAAATACACGAGAGATTATGAGTGTGCTCTTAACTTTTTCAAATCATTGTCTAAAGTTTTTTTTATATATATATATATTTACACTAGATGGGATCCTGCTTTAGCAGAAAGGTCCTGATGATAGTGATGTGAACCGAAATGCTGTTGACTTATTTCAGGTGTTGTCTGAACTGGTCATTATTCTTTAAAAACACTTGAGCCCAATTATCCTGGTAACTAGTGGAATGAGCTTGACCTGATGGCTTCGTGAGCGTTGTGATCCCAGTGAAGGTCATAGATTGGAAAGGAGAGGCATGTTTACCAGAGTTAGCTGGCTAACTCGCTCAGCTGGCATTTTAAGGAACAGTCGTTCAGTTTGACCCGGAAGACAACACCATTTACAAGAGCGTTTTTAGCTGATTTAATCTTTTATCTGATTTCATCAATTCTTTTAGGTTGCTTTTATCCGCGTAGTCACAGCATTGAATAATGATCCATTGTCGGTCAGTGGATAGTGATTTATTTATCTTCTGCTTTCGGGGGAAACTATTCATTTGGCTTTGATTGTATCAATGCACTTGTTGGCCTGAGATCTTGTAGATCATTGCTGTATGAAAATAAAAATATTTTATTTCTAAATGTGTGTTAGTGTCAAAATATGAGAAAGCAGGTAATTAACATTAGAAACACTGTGAATGAGTACGAATAATTTCAAGTCTTGGTAGGAAATACTTCTGTACATGTAGACCAAGGGTTTTTAGACACATCTTTGTTTCACCCAGTGCATGTCATGACGTACTCAACTAATCATGTGTGTTACGACAGGCATTCATATGCAATGCTGCGGAGGCTTCCGGAACCAATGGAAAACCCCTGATATAGACTGTGAAACACTAGTTTAAACAAAAAAAAACATTTGTTTTTTATGAAAATGTTGTAAGGAAACATTGTTTTGGGTGGAAAAACATAGCATAACAAAAACTGCAGCATTAGATTTGTGACGTTACCAAATTTCACCAGTTTTAAATTATACAATATATGCTTGAAATTTCATTACGCTACATGGAAAATTATGTAGACGAGTCAAATGGTGTGGTGGTAATTGAGAAAGTCACGTGAGAGGAGGCAATCACTCCTTCACACTATATGTGATCGTTTATGATAGGATATGATTCGTTCTTGATTTCGTCCGCATTCTCGAATCGGCCTGAATGAAGACTGATTAAAAAGTAAACAACTCATTTAAATATCACCGCTTTGTCACCTCAAGATCAAACCGGACCAGTGTGCAATCTTGATCACTGCTGGAAAAGTGTTGACAATTAAAAAGAAAAGCTGAACAGTAGTTCACAAATAATATGTATTTTTAAAATTGTTACTGACTTTAGTTATTATTTTGGAATACATGTACAAATTTGTAAAAGACTAACTCGAAATTTATACTTGGTTTTAATAAATAAAAAAGATAAGTGCACAAATACAAAATAGAATTGTATTTGGTCTCTTTTTATGTAATGTTTATTTGACCGTGAGAACCTGGGACTTGCTTAATAATGTGGAACAACCTCGTTTCCATTTACCCGAAGACCTGGCAAACCTGCCCGATTGATACCAGTTATCTAAAAAGATCAAATAAAACAAACACTTTCTTTGAAAAGCTAAACTGAATGTTTATTGTACTGAATGCTATGGAAACTTGTTTCCGCCACTGAATAATAAAAAAATAAAAAAATTGCGACTTTTTATCTCACAATTTTTGTTTTTTTATCTCACAATTGCGAGATATGAAGTCAGAATTCGGAGAAATAGTCGCAATTGCGAGATATAAAGTCGCAATTCTGAGAAATAGTCGCAATTGTGAGATATAAAGTCGCAATTATGAGAAATAAAGTCGCAATTGTGAGAAAAAAAACAGAAGTGTGACTTTTTATCTCACAATTCTGACTTTTTTTTCTCACAATTGCGAGTTTACATCTCGAAATACTGACATCTTTTCTCAGAATTGTGACTTTATTTCAGAATTGTGACTTTATTGTGACTTTATTTCTCTCAATTCTGACTTTATAACACAATTGCGACTTTATTTCACGCAATTCTGACTTAACAACACGCAATTGCGACTTTATATCTCGCAATTCTGACTTTATAACACGCAATTGCGACTTTATATCAATCAATTCTGACTTTACAACACGCAATTGCGACTTTATTTCGCGCAATTCTGACTTTATGACCTGCAATTGCGACTTTATATCAATAAATTCTGACTTTATATCTCGCAATTCTGACTTTATGACCTGCAATTGCGACTTTATATCAATAAATTCTGACTTTTTATCTCACAATTCTGACTTTTTTTTCTCACAATTGCGAGTTTACATCTCGAAATACTGACATCTTTTCTCAGAATTGTGAGATATTAACTCGCAATTGCGAGTTATCAGGCCAATTCTAATGGGATGGGGGGGGGGGGGGGGGGGGGGGGGGGGGGGGGGACTAACTATTTTCCCCTCAGAATAGTTTATATCTCACAATTCTGACTTTATAACACGCAATTGCGACTTTATATCAATCAATTTTGACTTTAGGCTACATCTCTCAATTCTGACTTTATAACACAATTCTGACTTTATTTCACGCAATTCTGACTTTATGACCTGCAATTGCGACTTTATATCAATAAATTCTGACTTTTTATCTCACAATTCTGACTTTTTTTTCTCTCACAATTGCGAGTTTACATCTCGAAATACTGACATCTTTTCTCAGAATTGTGAGATATTAACTCGCAATTGCGAGTTATCAGGCCAATTCTAATGGGATGGGGGGGGGGGGGGGGGGGGGGGGGGGGGGACTAACTATTTTCCCCTCAGAATAGTTTATATCTCACAATTCTGACTTTATAACACGCAATTGCGACTTTATATCAATCAATTTTGACTTTAGGCTACATCTCTCAATTCTGACTTTATAACACAATTCTGACTTTATTTCACGCAATTCTGACTTTATGACCTGCAATTGCGACTTTATATCAATAAATTCTGACTTTTTATCTCACAATTCTGACTTTTTTTTCTCTCACAATTGCGAGTTTACATCTCGAAATACTGACATCTTTTCTCAGAATTGTGAGATATTAAAGGGTCACTCCACCCATTTCAACATTAATCTTTATTGAAAGTGGGTTATATATGTAGTCGAAATGTAAAAGGAATTTTGAATTTGGTGCCCTCTTGACCGAGAAAAGACAGAAAATAACTTTGGGGCGCATTTGTATGTAAGACAACAACTCCCACAATGCACCACGTTGCACAGCTCCGCAAGCCACTCCCACTACGTTAATCCAGAACAGCGCAAACATCAGAGAAATCACTCTTCCGTCTACAAGAAGGCTAGCTGCCAAATGAGTTTGAAATTCATTTCACAAAAAATGTCTAGTTAGTTGGCTGTGGCGAGCAGGACGAGGGCGAGGGACGTGAGAGGACGACGCGAGTGATAATGAATGACACCTGTGCAGCGGTCTCATATCTCTCACGGAGGAGCGGAAGCACAAAAGGAACAGGCCTGATTTTATGTTTTGTTTCTGTTGTGTGTGGCCAGCTGGCTTATACTTTTGTTTTGTATTTGTTTATTTTACTATTAAAACGTTTAAATGTTCGCCGGTTCCAGCCTCCTTCTTCCCACAACAACGAACCCCGTTACATTGGCAAACTCATTAGTGAATTACTCGTTTGTATTTCTTTCTATATGGTGAATTATTGCATGTTACCTGGATGTTCAGTCAGGCGAAACTAGGATGGTTCACATCACAACACAAACGTCCGTGTGGTCGTCTGATTCAGAGATTTCGTCCAGGAGAAATTGCGATCGTTGAAATTCTCTGCAGCAGACGGACTCTATCTGTGTCCGTAGCGCACAGCGAGAGCACACGCACCAGCAGCCCGCCTCAGCTCGAGCCAGTCCGGGCTCCTCGTTCGCGACAGGCAGCCGCCTCCTGGTCCTCCATCAGCCTCAGCTGCTCTTCACTATATTGCGGCTCGTAAAGATAGCCACGAAGAGCGGATTCGAGCAGCAGAATTTCAAAATCCTCTACTTCCATATCATGTTTAGTTTCTTCCGTCATTGTCGTAACTCCTATATCCACAGCGCTTGTTAGCTTAGCTTATAAACAAGATGGCTGATATTGCTTTCAGTATCTGCAAGTGAAGTCCCACCCACTGATCTGTGATAGCTCTGTTAGCGCATTGGCACAACCCCCTATGGGCGGGTTTGAAAGGGTGGGAATTTGTGCTTGTAGAAATCCCCCCTTTTTACACTTCCTCCTAAAATGACGTCAAATGACGATTTTTGCGTCATTGTAGGAGGAAGTGAAAAAGGTAAATAGTAGATTTCTCTTGTCTCAGGGGAAAATGAAAGAATGTTGCACGACCATTCAATAGTATGACTGGTTGTCTAACAATGGACCTCTTAATGCAAATGGGTGGAGTGACCCTTTAACTCGCAATTGCGAGTTAACATCTCGAAATACTGACATCTTTTCTCAGAATTGTGAGATATTAACTCGCAATTGCGAGTTATCAGGCCAATTCTAATGGGATGGGGGGGGGGGGGAGACTAACTATTTTCCCCTCAGAATAGTTTATATCTCACAATTCTGACTTTATAACACGCAATTGCGATTTTATATCAATCAATTTTGACTTTAGGCTACATCTCTCAATTCTGACTTTATAACACAATTCTGACTTTATTTCACGCAATTCTGACTTTATAACACGCAATTCTGACTTTATAACACGCAATTGCGACTTTATATCACGCAATTCTGACTTTATCTCGCAATTCTGACTTTATAACACGCAATTCCGACTTTATATCAATCAATTCTGACTTTACAACACGCAATTGCGACTTTATTTCACGCAATTCTGACTTAATGACCTGCAATTGCGACTTTATATCAATAAATTCTGACTTTATATCTCGCAATTCTGACTTTATAACACGCAATTGCGACTTTATATCAATCAATTCTGACTTTATATCTCGCAATTCTGACTTTATTTCACGCAATTCTGACTTTACAACACGCAATTGCGACTTTATATCTCGCAATTCTGAGAAATAAAGTCAGAATTGCGAGATGTAAACTCCCAATTGTGAGAAAAAAAATCAGAATTGTGAGATAAAAAGTCGCAATTACCTTTTTTATTTTTCATTCTGTGGCGGAAACAAGCTTCCATAGAATGCTGCTGATGTCACTTGCATAATAATTAGGAACAGTGTGTATATTAGGGGAGAAACGGTACACAACATGACGGTCTTGGTTTAAAAGACGTCTCTTTATACTCACCAAAGATGCATTTGTTTGACCAAAAACAGTAATATTTCAGAGACATCTCTTACTATTATTAATGTTTAAAACCATACTTTGTGGAAACATGATACTTTTTTTTTTTCAGGATTATTTGATGAATAGAAAGTTAATTTATTCAACAGCATTTATTTGAAATAGAAATCTTTTGTAAAATAGTCACTTTTGATCAATTACATGAAATTGAATTCTTCAAAACATCATGTGAATAATTACAGTAACAAGTGAGTTTGAGGAAGTTTCAACAGACGAGGAAGTTCAAAACGTTTGACATTTCAAAACGAAGGCCCAATAAAATGAACAGACAGAAGCGGCGACACTTGTAGAATTTATATACAATCTTTTAATGTAAAAAAAAAGTTATAACCGATCATAACAGCGTGCCTAAGTGTATGCTATGAGTACATCACGAATGAAAAATCACACTGGACACGTCCGAGACTTGATTGTCGGTCAACTGGAAAGAAAAACCATTCGCATTGTCAAAGATTAACTGCGTGTCCTTGGGTGGTGACGTTACATTGTCCCGCTGCCAACTTCCCTTGTTTATTGCAAGGTTTCGTTTCAACTTGGGTCTGGCTGTGAAACACAACTGCATATTCAGAAACCCCCAGCACATATAACATTGATCATCAGTGCAGTGCGATGAAAACATGGCCCCCGAAATAAGACCCCGTCAAGAAAGAGAAAATGGTCTAAAACTGATTCAGAGATATACAAATAACAGTTTTTTTAAATCGAGCATAAAACAATTAATACAGAAGAAGAAGATAAATACGATGCTTTTTGATCTTGACTAAGACGTGATTGACACGATTAGTGAGTATATGGTAATGAACAGATTAAACATTCTCTCAAAAATCATCAGGAAAGCAAATCGATTGAATTTATACACAGTTACTCGGCGTTTTGTCCAGAGTCGTATGGGAATTTCCCTCAGTGAGTCCCGGCTCCATCAGTTCATGGTTTCTCTGCCGTCGGAAAGGCACTAGTGATTAGATGACTGGAGACTGGCTTTAAGATTTCATATAAACAACAACAACAACAAAAAAACAATAGTGCTTGCGAGGCGTGTATAAACTAAAAACATGGACGACCATCTCGAAGTAATCAAAAAGTTTGTGGCTGGTTACTATTGTGATCTGTCATACTTGCGTTAAGCGACATTTTGCATTTTTCGTGTGCAATGATTACAGATAAACTTATGCTGATGCTTAAAACTGAATTAAAAAGACAGCGACGGGGGGGGTGGGGGGGTTTGGTCCCTCTAGCCGAAAGTGGCTCCACAGTTTGGACATCTCCTCTGACGCAGGGCCAGGCAGAAGAGAATTCCCAGAGGAAAGAAGAATATGGCACACATGATTCCCAGACACGTGAAGTCGTCCTCCAGCACGCCGACCCTGAACACAGCACAACCCCACGGTCAGCACACACACACACACACACCACTCAAACATCTCTACCAGACCAGACTAAAGGCATGTTTCAGCTGAGATATCTTCAAATATGCCAGTGCCATTGAGAAGAATGCCCTTCATATTACAAACGCTTTGCATATTTGGCCCAATCTAGTTTGACATTTGATAAACCACATCAGCAGTAACGGCTAAAAATATGTCTCGATTCTCGCACGACCAAAGTAATTGTCATTCTTTGCTGTAATCAAATCTGAAAATAGCATTGGGCTGTAATTCTTCTTCTTCTTGCGTATGGTTATCAAGTGAACAGGGGCCTGTTGAAGGGTTAGTTAGTTCGCCCCAAAAATTAAAGTTTTGTCATCAAGTACTCGCCCTCGTGTCGTTCAAAACTCTTTTTTAGGTCATCGTCAAAACACAAATGATGAAGATCTTTTATTCGATTTTTGTTTATACGTTGAAAGTCAAAACTTTAAAAAGTTCATAGACGTCATAAAAGTAATACATATCAATCGAACAATAACACTTTTTGTTTTTTTTGTTTTTTTAACAAAAGCTCAAATGTGCTTGCTATTGTTAAAGTCCCCCTGTGGTCAATAATTGTATCCCTTAAAACTCACCTTTGATCACCTAAATGACATATTTAAATGTTTAATGCCTTAAAATAGCTTGAATGTAACTCGACACCCTTGCCTCATTTAGTATATGCGGTTCTATGAATATGCAAATGAGCCCCGCCTCCACTCACTCACACCAGCTCAGAGATCCACTGGTTGGCGATCACACATTGATCTGATTGGTTACAAGGTAGTTTGTGAAACGTTTGAGCTTCTGTTTACCATATTTGATGTGCTCAATGTGTGTGTGTTTACAATACCTGCAAATTAGTAACTTTTCTGCGAAATGTGCCGTTTTAAATGAAAAAGTCATTTTTGTGAATCACGCAGATCCGAAGAAATTCCAAGCACAATCAAATTATTTTTCTGATTTCTTTATGAACATATTTTGAACCTTAAAATTTTAGGCAGAGTGGACTTAATATGGATGGACAGAAAGGATACAAGTCTAAAGGTCAGGTTCGTCGCCCGCCGCTTTAAACGTTCGCGCTGCTCGTTAAAGCAGGATGGATTCTGATTGGCTGTCAATGCTTTTATCGTTCTGAAAGTGATTCCAACGAGATCGTTGTGCTGTTATAGATGTGGTGTGGACTCTGCTATTCTTTTATATTTAGAACTATATCTTTATAGTTACCATCATAGTTATCGTCCTTTATGGCTTTGGAACAACAGGAGGGAGAAAATGATGACAATTTTCCTTTTAGGGGGGAAACTATCCCTCTAACCAACCTGAATATTAAAACATGTATTATGATATGAGAGAAGAAGCTTCAATTTCAGTCGCCATGCCTCTGTTATTTAGAAATTTAAAAATGCATTTTTAAGAAACAAAAGCATCAAACATCTTTAATTCTTAATCATAGACAGATTTCTATATTATTTCTATATATATATATATATATGTCCTGTATGATATAGTACAGTATGATTTAAAAGGAGGAAGGGACATTGTTTGTTTTGTGGTCACGCTCACTGAACTGGACTGATCTGGTGCATGAACCAAAGTTCAGTGTGAAATCAGCGCTGTCATGAGGTCACATGACTCTCTCTCAGAGTCAGATGAGCAAGCATGAAGTGCTTCTGGATTTAAAACAACCTCAAAGAGGCCAATTTAAGGCCAGGATTATGAGTTGAAAAGAACATCCAGCATGAAAAAAAAAAAAAAAAATCGGTACCGCTTTACTATAAGGTTCATTAGTTAATGTATTAACTAACATGACCTAAGCATGAGCAATACATGTGTTACAGTATTAGTAAATGTTGAAATTAACATTAACAAAGATTAATGAATGCTGTATAAGTGCAGTTCCTTATTAGTTCATGCTCACTAATGTAGTTAACTAATGAACCTCATTGTAAAGTGTCAAAAAATCTGATTTTTTTTTCTTTCTTTTTTTCGTCATGGCATGACATAAGTGACATCAGCACTGTCACATGCTCACAAGCGAACAGGAAGATGAGTGAGCGGATACAGAAACCACTGTGAATTCAGATGAACTCCGTCTGGTTTATTTCTGTCCGTTCCTCCAGCGAACAATGACATCACGTAAAGCTTAACTGCCAAACACGATAGCATGACTTCTCCTGAACAGAGCTGACTGATATTGAGAGCGATGTGTGTGTGTGTGTGTGTGTGTGTGTATACGCCTCACCTGCAGGCCGGACACCCCCCCACCACCACCACCGAGGGCTGGACGATGGTGTAGGTGCTGGTGTAGGCCGGCTGGGTGGCCACGGCCGCAGGCTGGCCCGGGACGCCCGGATACCCTGATGCGGCGGCCGGATACCCTGAGGTGGCGGCTGGGAAACCTGTGGGACAGAGTTCACATCCATTAACACTCCACGTTTCTCACAGAAGAGATGTTTTATGAGCAAGCAGAGCTGAATATTGTACAGGAAGATAAAGGTGAGGATACACCCTTGAGAAAAGAAGTCATGTGATTGTAGTGAATGTGCACTTGTGGTGTCCTTCAAACATTACGGGTTTTTTTCTTTTTTTTATGTACTTGCAGGTAAAAAGATTACATTTACAAAAAGTGGATTTAATGTCAACTTTGTATTTTAACCCTCTGGTGCTCCTTTGTTTTCCAATGAAATGAATGTACTATATTTTAGTTCGCTAATGTTTTTTATGTAATATTTTTAGAGGATTTTATATTTAAGCTGTACTCTGACAATTTAAATTCCGACTTAAACTGTGGTAAATCTTGAGTGCTTTAGAGCACAGAGTTTGATCTCTTTTCAAAGACGACACTTGGCAGATTGAAAACAAGTTTTAAAAAGTGAGCTTTATACATTTTTTACACTTATTGGGTCTCATTCATGAAACACGAGCAGAACGAATTTGTGTGTAAATCGTGTGTAAAGTGGTTCTGGCGTAAATTTTCGGATTCATTCAAATGTTCGTATTTTCCAAATGTTAGTTGGTACACAAGAAATCTACACCTGCTCCCAGCCACGCGTAAATAGTGCGCTTAACACCCGAACGTTTTGCTCATTAATAAGGCTGCATTTTAATTCACCTTAATCGGGTACATATTTGCACAGCATTTTGAAAAAATATTATATATAGTAATTACATACGTTTTTTCTTATTATGAGAGCCAGTATAGCATCTGCGAAGGTGGTCCTTCTCCAGTTTGAATACTATTTTTCCGAAGTGAACTAATTCGTTTTTTGCTGTCAAGCTTAATGTCGAACCATTTTCTTCTCACTTCTGGGACTGTTCGATTAACAGATGAAACTCCATTAACTGCATCTGTAATACGCTGCCAAGCTTCCTTTTTTTTAGGACCCGATACGCCACTATGTACGCTTGAAAATAAATGTGGCGTTTTGAATGAACTTCTGATAATAAAACTTCAATTTCTGCATCTGAGAATTTTTTTTTCATTCGCATTCATGTCATAATATGATGCCCATATATAGTTGTCAGTCGGATTTAATGGGCGGGATTTATGGTAATTGAGAATGAACGTGCACACGCATCCCATTTATGACTGATTGGAATTCATTAACACACACACACATTTCACTATCACATCTGACGTTTACGAAGTATTTGTGAATCAGGAGAAGAGTTTTCGGGAAGGTCTCTTTACGCGCAAATCACTCGCATATTTACGAATGTTTCATGAATGAGACCCATTGTTATGTAAAATGCACTAAAGTACTATTTTCAATTTTTATATGAAATATATATATTCATCAAAAATACATTTTACTCTAAAACTGCAAGATATCAAAGCCATAAATCCACATTTAAGCTTGATATCTCAAATAATGAGCTTTCAGTCAGATATGTTTGGCCGCAGTATGAAATTCGGCTCTCATTCATTTCTAATGCGTTATTTTGACCGCGAGGAGCACAAGTGTGACTATTTCTATTTTTATTTTTTCAAATAATGTCCATGATTATTTGTGTCCACATAGCAAGTGCCAAAACCTTTACCAAGTTTCGGACCATTCCGATGAAGTGAAATATTCACACACAAAAAAAACTTCAATTTTTCAGTAAAAAACGACAGAAGAGCAACACAGGGTTAAAGAACATTTTTAAATCATTACGTTTTAATAATCTTTTGTCATGCTTTGAAGAAGTGCTCTTATTTTGACATACTGTTCATGTAAAGTGCTTGATTATGATTTTAACTAGTGTGTTATTCAATATTAGATTTAAAGTTAATAGGCTATATTATAAATGTACTGAACTGGAACTTCATTATTACAAATGTATTTAAAAAACAACATACAAGTTTCAGTAGAAATGACAATATATTTAATTGATCATAAATGCTTGTCAGTGACTTTGTACTTATGAAATGACATAAGTACTTACTGTAAGTGGGTCAAAAAAGCACTTTTACGTTCAACTAACTGCGTTTAATATAAATGTAAATAACATGCAAATCAAGTGTCCAAAACCATTACATTCACTTCACACTTAAGCAGATTCTTTATATAATTTCCATAATAAGAGCTCTTTTTAAAGCTATGGACTACTTTTCCACAAGGGTGAAGGTACACTATGAAGTATTGAAAGAGAGGTAAACCGTTAACTAAACTGAGCATCTGTGTATTAATGGTCCATGGACTTCAAACTTTTGAAACTACATAAGAAACTTGTGGCTGAATGGTTTCCTTGTTCACACACCATGAGTTTTAGCTTGAGACCAGTCTTTCACAGAATGTAGTCGCGAAATACATTAATAATGATAATAAACATAAAACGTGACCTGGAGCCTGTTGCATAAACTGCTTAGTCAGGCATCTTTTCTTTAGAACTGGCCATAACTAATACATTTAATGCTAATTTAAGAATGAAAGGAGTGATTATCATTAGGCTGAATTAGTCAGACTAGAAAGTCCAGTCCGCTTTCCCAACCAGTACGGGTTTTTTTTGTTTTGTTTCTGACTCAAAATAAACCAGAACTGTGTTTTGTTGTACTAAGGCTCGTGACACTTAATACAGTGAGTGCAGTATTTTATAAGTAGATTTTAATAGAAAGTAACGCCGTTCCATTCGGTAAATGTTGTACCATATTTTTATTTTGTTTTAATTTCGGTTATTTTTAATAGTTTATAGTTATCAATTATTTGCTTGCCAGTCTGTGAAAAGTCATTAGAAAGTTGTGTAAACACACTCATTGAAATGGTTTTACATTTATTCCTGATTTGTAATTTTTTTTTTAACTCGAAATGATGATCTCATCAATGATTTCATCAATTGTCAACTGACTGCTGTGCGGTCAAACGTTTGGAAACATTACTAGTTTTAATGTTTTTTAAGTAAGTCTCATCTGCTCATCAAAAATACCGAAAAAAAATTGTGAAATGTTATTACAATTTAACCTGTTAACTGGCACCCCCCTTTTTTTTGCATAGACATAAAAATCACTATCCAAACTTAAATGGTTGTAATTCAGGAATGCTTTGGAATATAGACCTATGGCTGGTCTTGTTTTAAAGAAGACATTTTCCAGATTATTGTAGAAGTCCAGAAATTGTAAAAAATGAAACAGAAAAAAAGTTATATAAGTTTGAGTTTATGAAATTGTGTGATGTAAAAATATAATGATTAATATTTTATATAAAATATATATATTACAAAATATATTTTACTCTAAAACTGCAAGAAAAATAAAGTCAAATATCTGAACAAGTTGTATTCCAAATTTTAGGTTGATATCTCAAAAAATGAGCTTTCAGTAAGATTTTATTCGGGCGCAGTACCCAACTTTTTCACTAGGTGAACACCAGACTCCATTACTGCCCATATAAGGGCGCCTCCATTTTCATATGTTTTGAGTGATCTGAATCATGTATTTCCATAATTTTCATACAATTTATGAAGTAGACATCCTATTCAGAAGTAGTAGGGGTGGTTTGGCAGTATTTGATTTGAATTAAACCTCTAATAAATGCATAAAGACTACGTTATAGCGTTATAGCTCGCAGCCGCATTACAAATCGAGAATCCATACATTTTTCTTTATATTTAAAACATTTTCAGACCTTTTTTTCTCATAAAATGGAATTGGTGTTATCTTTTGAACTCATGGCATGAAAACAAACTGAGGTTTCTACCAATCTTTCATGATTTTTCATGTTTATTGTTATTTCAAAATAAAGGCCTAAATACTCGTAATGAATATGAAATATTCTTGTTGCAAATTGATAAATTTCTGCTCCTCTGTAATATATTTTAGATAACAGCCACCAAATATGAAAACTAGAGATTTTAAGCTTTCAAATGATATATAGTTTGGCAATATTACTTTAGGTTTTTACTAAGATATTATTGTTTTAAACATGCAATGGCAAATGGGCCCGCCGGCGGGCCCATGCAGGGTTAAGTATATAGGCTAATTTATACCAGTGATCAAAGTGTTCCTGTGATTCAGTGTCACATGATCCTTCAGAAGTCATTTTAATATGATGATTTATTATCAATGTTGAAAAAAAAAATGTGTGCTGCTTAATTTTTTTATGACCTGTGATACTTTTTTCAGGATTCATTGATGAATAAAACGTTTTTTTAAAAGAACAGCGTTTATTTAAAAATGGAAATCGTTTGTGACAATGTACACTCCCGGTCAAAAGTTTGGGGTCAGTTTTTTTCCCTCTTTTTTTAAAAAATAAATTAATACTTGTATTCAGCAAGGATGTGTTAAATTGCTAAAAAAAAAAAAAAAAAAAAGTGATAGTAAATATTTATAATGTTACAAAAGATTTATATTTTGAATAAACGATGTTTTTTTATAAACTTTTTATTCCTCAAAGAATCCTGAAAAAAAGATCACATATTAATATATTATATATATACACAGAAAAATATTAAGCAGCACAACTGTTTCCATTATTGAGCATCTAATCATCATATCTGAATGATTTCTGAAGGATCATGTGACACTGAAGACTGGAGTAATGACGCTAAAAAAACAAAATCACCTTTACATCACAGGAATAAATTACAGTCGATTAAATAGAAAATCAATTATTTAAAATTGAAATAATATTTCACAATATTACTGTTTATTCTGTATTTCTAATCAAAATAAATCCAGCTTTGATGAGCATAATAGATTTCTTTCAAAAATCTGAAACATATTAAATCACATTCTTCATCATATATATGCGTTATAAAATCCTGCAGTCCGTGAATTGTTGCAGGATTATGAGCAGTTTAAACGCAGTGTGTGTGTGTGTGTGTGTTCGCGGTTCTCTTGCCTTGGTAGGGCGGCGGAGCCTGAGGCTGGAAGCCCGTCGCAGGAGCAGCGGCCGCGGGGAACGAGCCGTAGTCGTACGCCGCCGGGACCGTGTTGTACGCCGGAGGTCTGTCCTGGAGAAGAGGTTTAGTATCCATATCCAGTCCGAGGCGTCCTGTCCACTTCAGAAAACTAGTTTCAAATCTCCTTGAGCTTGAACGATCACTTGGACTAACGCAAACAAAAACCAAAACAAAGATTGGATGAAAGTTCCTCCACTCTTCCCCATGCGACTTTAACGCGCTCTTACAGCTTCGGGACAGGAATGGTTTGAAGACGTGTAAATGTCCTAAAGATGCGCCATAGCGACCTGTTCTTGATTTCTCTCGTTTATGAGAGAAATCTAGGTTTGGTAACGACTGAAACTCGTTATCAAACTCAAAAACGACGTTTTTCCTGCTGCACTGTCACAAGACTCGCTGTCACGTGATGAAGTGGAACGCGCATGCGCGGCGGCGGGGGAGGGGGCGCGCCTTAAAGTTATACACACGCTCACTTTTTACGCACTAAAAAGTTTCATTTCTATTTTTGTTATTTGATTTTCCTTTCCCCTGCTGTTCTATGTTGTATCTACTAATGTTTGATACTTTGTTATATTTTATTTGTAATTGTTGACTGATTAATAATAAAAGTGCTCACTAAAAAGTGTATCAGATTAAACAGAAAGGTTACAGTGCTTTTATTTCTGTTTACAATCATGAGATGAAGGCTCTAGTCTTATTAGTAACCTGATAAACACTGTGTTATATTGAACATGTGGGTCACGCTGTGTTCACGTCATGTCGTTATTACCTTAATTATTATGAGATGACAAACCGTGACCTGAGCTGTTGGAATCTCGGTAATAAACACACCTATGATTATGAAACAGATCAAAAATCACGCTAATGAGTGTTGTGAACAAATGTTCAACCCATATCTTTTCAATAAATTATTTTATCTGGTTTCCAAAAACCCGGTGTGACTGTGAGTGAATATAACCAGTTTTTCCTATAACATACAATACGAATATAATACGAGTTTCCTAGTTGAAATCACAAGAACGTCTTCGCAAGTCGTGTTTAAAGGGCCAAACCCACCCTAATAGGCTATGTGAAATTGATCAAATTAAATTAATGCATCTGTGTCTAATGACAGACACTACAATACAGAAATACAGCTGTCAAACTGTATAGCAAGTGTTACTGCATGCAATGCTTTTACATTAAACTTCACAGCTGTTGCTTTTTTTATCCAACGAACTTTTATGCAATATAGCATACAGAATTTAACTGCTAATATCATCTGTGATGTGATTTTGATGACGAAAGAGTCTCTGACATACTGTACATCAGTCAGTCTCAGTTACTTCATGTTAATAAAGAAAATAATGTTCACAGCACACGTTTTTCCCAAATGTGCTTGTATTTATCCACACCACAAATAATGAATACACTTCAAAACACACAAGGTCGAAAAGAAGGAAAAACAACAGTATTTCAAACATGTTCAGTTATAGCCTTTTCGTTTGCAAATTCATCTAATGCATCGCCTATCTATGCATTAGATCAGTCTGAAGTAACAGCTGAAGTATAAGAGTTAGTACTCGTGTATCACCCTTGAGTTTTTAATTATTGAGAGAGTAAAGAGTAAATAATTGATCGAGTAAACCTGCGCATATATGAGAGCTCTGCGCGACGGAAAAACATACGTGCGCGCACAGGCTGTCCAATCAGAAGCCTGGATTTCGACATTTCCGTCAGCGCTGACCAATCAGAGCGAAAATACCCCTGACTTCCTGCTTTGGCTCTCTGAGCCCTTAGAATAATGCTGGGAATAATAATAAACGGGTTGCTGGTGTTTGTAATGCTCGGAATAGATGAAGACTCGCTGCACAATCATTAGACTACACAGAGGGTGAGTTTAGGAGCACATCTGAGCGGAATGGGAATTCGTTGTGTGTGTGTTGGAATTTATATTCGTCGTATTGATTAGGCTATCATTAAACGTCATAAATCATAAGGCAATAGCAAGTGCATTAATGTTTTACATTAAATTAAATTAAGCAGAGAATAATACGACTGTAATATGAAATCCAGAGAGACAGGTGCGAGTTGACCACTGGTGTCCAGTAACAGTTGCCTGTATCTCTTACTTTGTTTGAGTATTTAGTTAGTATATAAATGGATAATTGCTTGATCTATGATTCAAATTAAATAAGCAAACTTTAAAATGCCATTTGTGTAATTTTAATTGTGAACTTTTTGACTGTCTGTGGTTTAATAACTAAACAACTGAGAGCTGTTCATATATATATTAAATATTATTTATAACTTTAATTTTATATGAAATAAAGTATATATAATATATACTATTTTTCAAAAGTTTGGAGTCATTAAGGTTTTTTTTAAAGAAATTAAGACTTATTCAGCAAAGACACTATAAATTGATAAAAAGTGACATTGAAGTATTTATAATAATACAAAAGATTTCTATCTCAAATAAATGCTGTTCTGTTTTGAACTTTCTATTCATCAAAGAATCCTGAAAGAAAAAATGTATCACGGTTTTTCCACATAAATATTGCGCAGCACAACTGTTTTCAACATTGATAATCAGAAACGTTTCTTGAGCATCAAATCATCATTTCTGAATGATTTCTGAAGGATCATGTGACACTGAAGACCAGAGTAATGATGCTGAAAATACAGCTTTGATAATAAATTGCATTTTAAAATATATTAAATTAGAAAACAGATAATTGAATTTTTGTTTCACAATAATATAGTGTATTTTTGTTCAAATATGCAGTCTTGGTGGGCAGAATAGACTTCTTTCAAAAAGATAAACAAATTCTTATTGACCATAAACTTTTGAATGGTAGTATATCGGCAGCGTGTGTATTTATATATATATATATATAGTACTGTGCAAGAGTCTTACGTACTTAAGTATTTTGAACAAAAAAATGGTTTTATTTATATATTTTGCTGTAGTGTGTCAGTGGGAAATATCAGTTTACATTTCCATTTTGCCATTAATTGTAATAATCCAGTGATATTTTTGTAAGCACATTTTTTTTTTTGTCATTTTTGACAACAGCCGGTATGATCCGATCTCACCGTCATCGAGTCTGTCTGTGACTACATGAAGAAACAAGAAAAAACTGAGACAGACCGAACCCAAAACAACACTCTCCAAGACGCTTGAAGAAACCTTCCTGCAAAGCTACAGCACTGTGAGAAAGTTTTTAGGCTGTTGCAAAATTGATGGCAAAATTAATGTATGTAAACTGATATTTCTACTGACACACTACTGCAAAATATATAAATAACTGGTTTAAAAGCATTTAGTTTTTTGGTCAAAATACTGTCATGCCTAATACTTGTTCACAGTATACTGAATATAAGCTGTGTTCTCTACATGTGGTACAGCAGGGTCAGTGGTGTGACCATGTCCGGGTCGCTGCTGTGGGCGGTGGATGTGTACGGGCGGGTGTTCAGTCTTCCGGCCGCTAGAGGGCGCTGGAGCCGCGCTGCTGATATAGTGCTGGAGCTGAAGCGTGTGACGGGCTCTCATCAGTGCTGCTGGGGCATCGGCTGCGACCATCACGTCTATCTCCATGTGTATCCCAGTCAAGTGCCTATACGCCACCAGGAAGAGACCTACGAAAACCAGGTGTGTTCACTTTCATATTCTTACTCGGATTTTCAATTCAATTGCGTAAATACTGTAAACATAATAAGGTCCCATTTGTTAAAGTCGGCATGAAATGGAAGTTGCGATATTCTTTATTTCCCTACTGTGACGTAGGAGTGAAACTCACTGCTTCTGGAACAAGAACAAATGTAGGGCGGGGCTTGATTTTGTCCATGTGGATTTGATTGGATGGTTGTGGTTTGCTATTGGCTGATCTCATGTGAGTGACAGGTTGCCCCGCCCTCTCGCCAGTAAACACATCATCAGAGATGAGCTGCAAGAGGAGGGGAAGTTATTCGGATTCAAGATTACAAAGCACAAGAATTAAAAAAAATTATGTGCACAGATAAATCATTTAGGTTTCACTTTATTGTAAGGTGTTACTGTGTAATTATAGATTTAAGTCACGAGTAATATTAATTAACTACATGTACTGGTGAAACTCGAAAAATTAGAATATCGTGCAAAAGTTCATTTATTTCAGTAATTCAACTTAAAGGTGAAACTAATATATTATATAGACTCATTACATGCAAAGTGAGATATTTCAAGCCTTTATTTGTTATAATTTTGATGATTATGGCTTACAGCTTATGAAAAACTTTTCACAATATTCTAATTTTGAATTTGGGGTTTTCATAAGCTGTAATCCATAATCATCAAAATTATAACAAATAAAGGCTTGAAATATCTCACTTTGCATGTAATGAGTCTATATAATATATTAGTTTCACCTTTAAGTTGAATTACTGAAATAAATGAACTTTTGCACGATATTCTAATTTTTCGAGTTTCGCCTGTACTTACTACAGAGTTAGGAATAGGGTTTGGTTTAGGGTTAGTTGGTATGATGTATAATTTATAGTTATCACTATAGTAAAGTACATGTAACGTGTAACAAGGACACTGTAAAATCAAGTGTTACCAACATTTATAAATACTGCAATATTATACTGCAATAATCCATTAAAAGCAAGAATTGTCCATTTTGATTTCACGGTGTCTTAAACATTAGTTAATGCGTCAACTAACTTTTCTAAATGAAGTAAGAAAATACAACAGGTTATTGTTAGTTCATGTTAGCTCAGCTCCATTAAAGACCTATTATGCCCCTTTTTTACAAGATGTAATATAAGTAAATAAATAAAATACCCCACAGATCATTTATTATACCATTTTTGAGTGGAAGGAAATTTTATTTTCGTGTATGTATCTTTAAATGCAAATGAGCTGCTGCTCCCGCCCCCATTTCCAGAAGAGGGCGGAGCCTAACGGTATTATACTAAGTTCTCTTTCACGTCTTATTGCGCTTAAACTGTCAAATACACATGTGGTTATGTCAAAAACACACAAAGTTCACATAAACCCGGTCAGTTATGTCTGTGAATGTAAACAGCAAGTAAGGAAATCCCCTGTGTATATTAGATCTGTGTATTAAAGTGAAAGAAGCTTAATATACAGTACCTACTGCTATAGTGTTAATATGAATCAAACCATAAAAGAAAACCTAAAATCACTCACTCTGAGACACCTCACCAGCATTTAAACTACTGTCATATCATACACACACAGAAACTCACGGCGATCCGTCAAAATAAAAGTTCGATTTAACTTGAGAAATTGTGACAGAAAGTTGTACAGTAGAATTTTGCTACGTCTCAATGTAATAATAACACTAACACTAATAATAATGAAAAATAATAATAAGAACAAATTATTTTTTTAAACTTGATAGGCTATTTTAAGGAATATTCATATTTTTTTATATTTTAATTATTCAATGTTTTAATTTGAATAGTAAAGCTCTGTTGTGCAGCACTTTGTTTGACAAGGTCATGATTAAAAGATAAATTAAATTAATGTTGTATGCCTGCATTTGATTGCAAGAAAAATGTAAATAAACAACAGAGAATTTCACAAAAACAAATATTTCATAGAAATGATTTAAAAAAATATATATATAATAATAAATGGTTGTTTTTATGAAGTAAATTAATTAGACATCCTTTTTTTGATTATTAAAATGTAATTAAACCATTAAAAAGGATTCCAGAAAACAGAATTTGGTCAAAAAAATAAATAAAACTGAGTTCGAGAAAGAAAAAAAACTTTTAATAAATGCTTTCAATTAATTACACATGCTTTTTGATGACTAAAATGTAATTAAACCATTAAAATGGAGTCCCAAAAAAAAAAGGGATCCAGAAAAATTACAACAGAAAATAAAAAATAAAAAATAAAACAGATTTCATTGCAGGGCCCTATTTAGCATCTTTATTAAGAAAGCATTTCTTACTTGAACTGGCGTGGAGATAAAGACGGTGGACGATGTACAGCTCACTGGGGGCGGGGTCTATATGCTAATAGGACAGTCATGGGCGGGGCCTAATCATTAAGCTAATCTGCAAACGGCTTGTTCTGAGACACTGCTTATGATTTATGGGGATTAAAAAAAGAGGAGTGTGTGGACTTTTACCATTATAGGGTGGTTGTGCACACTGCAAACTAAACATTTATGTTCAAACACCATGTAACAGTGAATTTGCATTATAGGTCCTCTTCAAATTATTTTAACAGATACAACTTTTGAATTTAATAATGTATTAGTAAACAATTAATATTGACAGAAACTAATAAATGCTTTAGAAGTATATATAACATTTGCATGTCGTGCAACAGTTATAATTTTGATGATTATGGCTTACAGCTTATGAAAACCCCAAATTCAAAATCTCAGAAAATTAGAATATTCCATGAAATCAATAAAAAAAAAGGATTTTAAATACAGAAATGTCGGCCCTCTGAAAAGTATAATCATGCATATGTAGTTATACTAAATATATTAGATTCATCTTTGAATTTGAATTACTGAAATATGTTCTAATAATTCAAATTTTTTATATTAGAATATGTAGGTTTCTGTATTGGTTTGCCACAAATCTCCTCTGACCTGCTAAGACTCTCTGTGTGTTTTCCAGAGGTGGAACCCAGTTGAGGGTTTCACAGACACACTCCTCCCGACAGACCGCTGGCAGTGGACGGATGAGTCCGGCTCCATCCCACAGCCCCTTCACAGCTTTGAGCTGCCGTCTGCTAACTGGGAGTGGGAGGGCGACTGGTACGTGGATGATGAAAGCTGTGGGAGGGAATCCACTGAGACTGGGGTGAGGGACACAATCTCATAAACTCCCCCCATCCCAAACCTAACTTACTCGACACTTAACCTCTAAACCCAGCAGCGCTGACCCTCTCCTGTGCCGTCAGGGCTGGGAGTACGCGGTGGACTTCCCTGCAGCCTTCAGCAAAGACAAGAAGTGGAATTCATGTGTCCGTCGCAGGCGATGGCTTCGCTACAGGAGATATAAAGCACTGGGATCATGGGCCAAGGTGGAATCACCAGTAAAAAGCTCAAAAGTGTAGTTCTTTCAATGTTAAACACGCATGTCGCATTGAGAAAGTGTGTTTTTGGCGCAGGTGCCTTTGGACCGGGGCAGGTCTCCGCCCGAGCCCTTCGTCGACCTCAGCTGTGGAGGCTGGGACATGAGCGACGGCCCTGAGAAGCACATTCACCTGTGGGCCGTGTCCCAACAAGGGAAGGTTTGTGCAAAGGAATAGGCCTGGTTTAACACAAGTTATGTGCAATGTTGTCGACTGCACAGAATATAGCGTAGATAACTATATATACACTACCAATCAAGAGTCTTTTTGGAAAGAAATTAATACTTTTATTCAGCGAGGACACGTTAATTTAATAAAAAGCGACAATTATAATGTTACAGAAGATTTCTATTTCCAATAAATGCTGTTTTTTTTTACTTTCTCGTGAAAGAATCCTGACAAAAATTACGGTTTCCACGGAAATAAGAACCAACACAACTGTTTTTAACACTGATAATAATCAGAAATGTTTCTTGAGCATCAAATCATCATATTGGAATGATTTCTGAAGGATCATGTGACACTGAAGACTGGAGAAATGATGATATTTCAGCTTTGATCACGGGAATGAAATACATTTTACAATATATTAACCTAAAAAATAAGCAGCTTGTTAATAGTGAGAACTGGAGGCTGAACTAAAGTGTTACCAAAACCTCTTTAAGCAGTGAAGCTGTGGTTGCATTGCAGATATCTGAGCACTAGAGGCCGCTGCGGTCCTGTTGTGTGATTCAGTGAGTAGGGGGAGGCTGCAGACCTGGAGCCGGCAGATATACCTATGAGATATACGCCCCTGACAGTTTTAAGCCCCGGCAGTTTTAGGACCCTGTTGTTTCTGATGCGTCCAGTAGAGGGATATACTGCGAAATAACATCATTAAATCGACGCTTAATAACCCGTCCATAGACTTGACAATTTTGTGTTTTTTGTTAATTTAAATATAAACGTTATAGTGTAGATCTGCACGGATTAAATTATCTGTTTAACAAAAAAACAAGGGGGGTAAACGGACATCAAAAGAGATTGAATTAGGTTACACAAATCAATGCAATATTACATTTCGTCAATATAAAAACATGTAAGGTTCTTTACAACAGACTCAATGATATTATTTGTTTTATAAACCTTTGAGTTTAAAGGTTCTGACATTTTCTTAAAGGAAGAAAAAAATGACCTTTATATCAGAGGAGAATATTCTAGAATCAGGATTACTTTGAATGGTTCTGTCTTTATGAAGATGAAACTTGCCCAGAAGACAAAGTAATAATACCGTATAAGCAAGTTTAACATCGTTAGAATTAAAATCTGACAAAAATAGATTCTGTCATTTGTATGTTAAATAATCTGCTAAAGTTATTGTTTTTTAGCAATGATGCAACATTTATTATTTATAAACGATTAGCTCGATAGAGCTAGGGTAGGTAGATATCAATTCATTTATATATCAATGGATGGGTCTATAATGTATTTTGACATGTTTCTGTTCTATTTGGCTTAAACTTAGCTAACCACGTGTAGGTTTAGCTTCCCCTATCTTCTCTACTCAATTTAAAATTAAAATTTTAATTTTCTTTTGTTGCCTGTCTTTAGCTTGGCCTCTTCTGGTAAGACTCTGTTTACTCCTTGCATTAAAACATACTCCACATGGTTTATAGAGCAATATTACAGTAGATAATGGAAATATGTTAAAAAAAATTACAGTCTATGGTGTGAACACACAAAAGACACATTTATAATAGGTATGTAAATCTCTCTCTCTCTCTCTAAGTAAAGAGTTAAACTGCACACTCACTCAAATACGTTAAAACACATTAAAAACTTTCCCCATATGGTTTGAATGTAGATTCTGGTTTGAGTTGTTTCTTATAAATGAGATGATCTAATGATCTCATTTATATCTTAATATACATTTTTTCTTAAAATAGCTTACTGATCTGGACTCAAATGTAGGGTATGTGCACTTAATGTGGGTTTAATCATACTCTGTCTTTACCAAGTTCTCTTTAACTTGGATCTCATAAAGGTGTGTTTGCTTTAGCTACTTAAGGAAATACACACACACACACACACACACAGGGACAAGGTCAAATTCACCATGGATGTCCTTTTTAACTTTTTTAATGTTTCATTTTTAAATGTTTCATCAGTGAGCAGGAGCAGTTAAAGAAAAAAAACAGTAAAAGAAGAGTGGCAAACCATAGGGGAGTCATCATAATTCATAAATGGTGTTAATAAATATTTTTTTGTGAACAACAATATTGTCTATATTTTCTAAATGGCCCATGGAATTTTAGAAAAGGGATAAATTGTGTTTGTCTTCATAAAATGCTGTGTAGGACACTGTTTTGTAGCTGTATGATGACCAATAGAATAGTACAGCAGATATTTCATCGAGGATCCATATTATTACACGGTACTGCATGTTTAATGGGCTAAATATAGTTAATATCTAAATGTGACTTTATATAAATTCACAAAAACATATTTCACTCAGTCTCCTGTATATAAAAACCTACGGTGAATTGGCCTATAACTGCGGTAGGTCATAGCATCACCTGTCATAACACATAGTTGATCCAACTATGTGTATTTTTAATTTTTCAATTCACAAAAACAAATAGTCTTCTGTAGGTTGAGTGAAGAGAGTGAAGCCCAACTGAATATCTACAGAAAATTTAATCCGTGGAGATCTACACTGTAACGTTTATATTTAAATTAACAAAAAACAAAAAATTGTCAAGTCTATGGACGGGTTATTCATGTGTAAGCGTCGATTTAATGATGTTATTTCGCAGTATATCCCTCTACTGGACGCATCAGGAACAACAGGGTCCTAAAACTGCCGGGGCGTAAAACTGCCAGGGGCGTATATCTGCCGGCTCCAGGTCTGCAGCCTCCCCATATAGGATTCAGTGTGTCAAAAGGCTGCTGCTTTAGTAGTGTTCATCTACTGTTATAGACCTTATGCACCAGAGAAACGTGGGCGCCGTCATCTTTAGAATATTGTCTTTGAACTTCCGTTTTTGCGGTCGCTCTGTATATTTCTATGGCATCGCTGTCCAGGAGTAATTCGCTGGTGAAGTGGATTTACTTATTGTAGAGTTAACAAAAGTTATCATGAGCATTGCAATGTTTATCATAAGCATTGTAAAGCAGATGTCTTAACAAATGTCGACTGGGAAATTGTTTTACGAGCAGTTCATTCATGTCTATGCAAGATCGCTGTGAAAATACAGACCGGAAGTCAAAAGACAACGAGCGCAGCTCTGAAAAGTGGCGGGACTACATAAGGTCTATAGTGTTTATTAATACAGTTTAAGGTTTAGTCATTTTGTTGTGATTTAATTGTTTTTTAAATGTTTCTATTAAGCTTTAATTTATTCAATAATATAGCAAATTAATATATTTTTTTCAGTTTTTGTTTTTTTATAATTGTTTTGCTGGGACTGAAACATTATTTCAGTTAGTTGCCAGAGCAATATTTCTAATTTTAGTTTTAGGTTTTCAACTTTTCATCTAATATTTGTATGTTGTTTTATCTCGGCTTTATATCAATCAACAGAAACGATTTATGCTAGTTTGAGGGGACGTTTACACAACAACGATATGCTTAAAACGGACAAGTTTTTCCTTTGAGGTTTCCACACCAATGTTCAAAACGATCCCCATACGCTGATTTCACTCAGCCGCCATTTTGAAATCAAAATCGAGGCTCCGGTGGGAAGAACCCCGGAAGTACAGATAGACAACAATGCTTGGACTACCAACCAAGGGGGTAATCCATCGACCGGAAGTTGAAGCCGGCCGGGTGCTGCCATGTTGTAGCAGAACTTCACTTGCGTTAGCATTTCCATTGACTCCCATTCATTTTTGCGTCACTTTGACAGCGAATAACTTTACATCTGAGGCGTTTAAAGACTCCATTTGTCCATTATTTATTTCTAAAGAAACACGACAATGTATAAAGGGCTCCATTACCTTCTATGTTACACTATGGCCCCGTAGAAACAGATTTAGTAAAAATAGGCTAACGATTGCGTCATAACCACTCGACTCTCTGTCGCGCTGTTCAGAAATGACCGTACAGACAGGAGGAGAAGCTCGCAGGCAATCGGGGGGACGTCCCGTCAAGGGAGAAGCCCATAGATAATGAGTCCATAAAAGCAACGGAATACTTACTCCTGCTCACTCACGCCAAAGAACTCTTTGCTCAAGTTCCCCGTCTCTGCAAGATTAACGTTGGCAGTTTTCACGCACAGCTACTAGAAGATTAACGTCTGTCAGACAGGTTGCTCACGTCATCAAGCTTAGTTTGAGTCGGTTTGAGTCTGCGCGTCAGGAACGGAAGTTCTCAAAAATCGCTAAAAGTGGGCTTCAACTGTCTCAACTGAGTTCCAATGAGATCGCTCTGTCCATTTCTTTTACTGTCTATGCTACCAACCTGAAGCTGCTGCCGCGATTTACACTATTGGATGTTAATATCCAATATAGGATATGTATATAGTTTGTTCCTGGTTCTTTTTTTTACGTTCTGAATTATATATAAAAAAATAATTTTATTTATAAATGAATTTCACTGTATATAGTCTAAAGTATGAAAGAAATGTATGTACATTTTTAGAATAACTAATTTCTACATTAAACACAACAATACGCCATCGCATTCGCAACTCTCCTATGATTAAAAGCGACACTTCCGGTTTTCTTCCCACCGGAGGCGATATTTTTTTTCACAGGATGGTAGGGGAAGACTCATGAATATTCATTAGGGAACTCATCCCTGATTGGTCTGATGACCTACCCCTAACCCCGCCCCTAAACCTACCCGTCACTGGGGGTCTGATGACTTACCCCTAACCCCGCCCCTAAACCTACCCGTCACTTAAGACCGGGTTATGGGTTAAGACCAATCAGGGATGAGTTCCCTAATGAATATTCATGAGTCTTCCCCTACCATCCTGTGAAAAAAAATATCGCCCACCGGAGCCATTTCAAAATGGCGGCTGCGTGAAATAAGCGTATTCACACTGATCAGTGAAACCATAGATATCCATAATAAAGGCTAGATGTCTCGTCCGTGCTGCTGGCCAATGGAGGTCGACGACCGCACCTGGCGGCCATCTTGTCACAAGCAGCTCGCTCACTCGTAACATTGTGTTTTAATGGAGCATGTACTTTTTAAATAATCATAACTTGCTCAATTTTCTACCAATTTTCAAACGGTTTGGTTTGTTATAAACGTCAGAGATGTAGTTATGACACTGCATACTTATGAATCATAAGTTTATCAATAAATAATCATCCAGAATTATAGCTACGTTAATAACGTTTGTAAGAAATCAAACCGTTTGTAAATCCGTCAAGATTCCAACGAGATAAGAGTGTTTGTGTTCGTGCTGATCACTCATCTTACATCAGGTATCACAGAACCCGCCAGAAAGCTTGCCTGTGACAAGATGGCCGACGGTGATTACGATAGAGACTCCGCCGTAAGACATCTAGCCTTTATTATGGATATCTATGTGTGAAACGACTAGAAACCCTGTATTCTGCTGTCAGGCCATTAGATGGTGATGAAACACTATAGACTGTAATACACCAGTGCATGACGTCATCGTCTTCAGAGATTCACGTTTTTGTTGTTTACACGGAGACCGTTTTCTACTATAAACTGAAGACTTTTTATGCGTTTTGGCCGTTCGTTTACAAGAAAACGGCGTTTTGGGTGCTTGAAAACACAAACTTTTTGAAAACGGGTTTCAAAGTGCAAGTTTTTGAAAACGGTCTCTGTGTAAACAATAAAAACACGAATCTCTGAAGACGATGACGTCCTGCACATGTGTATTACATGTTCAGTCTATAGTGTTTCATCGCCATCTACTGGCCTGGCAGCAGAATACAGCGTTTTCAGTCGTTTTCGTGGATCCGTGTGAATGGGAATCGCTTTGACAATGGTGTCGTCTGTACGCGGAAAACTCAAAAGTAAAAACTTCTCAGTTATAAGCGTATCATTGTCGCGTAAACGTACCCTTTGAAACCCGTTTTCAAAAGTTTGCGTTTTCAGCCAGCCAAAGCGCCGTTGACGTGTAAACTAACGTCCAAAACGCATAAAAAGTGTTACGTTTTTAGTTGAAACCGGTGTCGTGTAAAGCCCCTCAGTTCACCTGTTTGCAGTTGCAGGGCAGTTTTGTGACCACTAGAGCTCACTGCTGTTCTGGGACGTGCTCTTTATATGTTGAGCTCAGCCGACGCCTCCTTACCTTATGGATTAACCACATGCTCACAGGAATCTGAACCATTTCCCAGCCTAGTGGTTAATTTAAACACTCGCTGAATGTTTTGTCATGTTTATGATGTGTTAAAATTCTATTCCTGCCACCACACAGATCTCAGGTGTGTGTGTGTGTGTGTGTCTACACAGCTGTGGTCCCGCACAGGCATCAGCCAGCAGAACCCGGAGGGGACACGATGGGAGCCCGTCCAGGTTCCCCGAGAGGTGGCACAGGTCAGCGCCGGCCCGAAAGACCTGCTTTGGGTCGTTCTCTGGGACGGACAAATGCTGGCCAGGACGGGCATCAGTAAAGACTGTCCTAAAGGTCCGACACTGACACATTTATTCCTGTCCTTTGAATTCACACACACAGAATGCAGAACATACAGTACATGTTTTGAATGGCATCTATTCACGGTCAAACTGTGATCATGGTCACGGTCATGTCAATAGCATGACAGAGGTATGAACACACAGAGGGCCTAAAGAGCACGTGTGACACTTGAGCCACACTTAAAAATGTCCAGATGTCATTGCAGGCAAACATGTGAATCTCTTTTCTCTTCACTAACGTCTCACTTGTTTGCATAATTTTTGCTCATCGTCTTTGAATCAGCTGGTGATTTTTAGTGGACTTATGAAGTCAGTCCTAAAGTTCTCACAGGTGTGGAGAATCACATTAACTATCAACATGATCAAATAATGCTTGACAACTGCAAAATGTCTCAGTACTTTTTGTTTTTGTTTTGTAGTGTATCGATTTGTTTTATCATTTCAAACCTAACATAGTACAGTAACTTTTAGTGTAGCTTAATAGTCCAGACTCAATAGTGTGCCTTAAACTACATGGTGAAAAAGAAGTGTGCTTAATTGTATTGAACGTGCACTTGTAGTATATTTATTGAAAGGCTGTACTTGCAGATAATAATATAATAGTAATGAAATAAAAGGCCACTTAAGTGCACTAAAAGAACACACTTAAGTAGAATTTTACAAAAAAAAGTGCACTTTGTAATAATGTCACATTTTGAAAGTACATTTTAAGTCGTTATGTTTTAAAAATGTGTCATGCTTTATATTAAAAGAAGTGCACTTATTTTGATGTGTTGACTAACATACTTAAGCACAAGTACTTGATTATGATTTTAACTGTAGTGTGTTATTCAATAATACGTTTAAAGTTATTATATACTAAATTGCAACTTCATTACATAACTATAAATATATTTAAAAACATGTCATAAAAGTTCTAATAGAAATGACATGAGGATATTTTAGTTGACCATAAATGATTGTCAGTAGTAACTTTAACCATATTTACAAGAAAATAGAAGTAAAAATTAAATTATTACATATAAAGATGTGCTTAGTTCCTACTTAAGAGTGTCAAAAAAAACACTCTTGAGTTCAGTTCATTCATTCAGTCTGCACTTAAGTACATGCTTTTAAAGTATATTATTTTCATGATAAGTACTCTGTTTACAAGTCTGCTGAAGTGTACTTCTTTTACACAAGGGTACGTCGAGCATCTGTGTTGAAGTCTAATCTTTAACGGAGAGGTTTGCATGTTGTCAGGCTCATCGTGGGATCTAGTTGAGTCTCCAAGTCAGAAAGGAGCCGTTCATGTTGCCGTGGGCATCGCTGTCGTTTGGGCCGTTACTAAGGACAACAAAGTAAGACGATATTTAATGCTCTGTGCACTGCTTCGGCTTGACATTAATATCACTGCTATGGGTATCGCACATTCATTTAGTGCTATTAATTTAAAGGATTACTGTAATTTAAAATTCTGTAATAATATTGTCTTGCCATCAGAGTAATTGTGCAACGTAACTGTCCATTTTCATCTAAAAATGGAGTAAAAATAACCCAGATGATAATTGGCAGTGTGGCATATTACTGAAATGTTTATTCTTGCATAAAGAGTTCTGTGTGTGTGTGTGTGTGTGTGTGTGTGTGACAGGTCTGGTTCAGGAGGGGTGTGAATTCCCACAATCCCACTGGCTCAGGCTGGATCAGCATTGGTGGAGAGATGGTGATGCTCAGCGTGGGGCCCAATGACCAGGTGAGATGAGTGGAGTATCATATTATACTGTCTAACAATAAACACACTCACTGTAGAGCAGTGTTCTGCCAGGTGGTCAGTATACTCCGTATACTGTAACATGTAAACATGTAAACTGACATCATGTAAGGGGGCCCTAGAATTTTGTCTTTGACATTGGGGGGCCTTAAAATCCCCCTTTGGTGAAAATCAAGTGTTTATATGTCTATGTAGTGTTTTCAATATGCTTTAAGACAAACCATATGTAAATTCATAAGTCGACAGCATTGCTTAGTATTTTCTCCTTAAAACTGCAGTGAACCAAAGACAGTCTCAAAAACACGGTTTGAAATCACTGGTGTTTCTGACGTCACAAACTACCTTGTAACCAATCAGGTCAACGTGTGATCGTCAACCAGTGGATCTCTGAGCTGGTGTGAGTGAGTGGAGGCGGGGCTCATTTGCATATTCATAGAACACATACTAAATAAGGCAAGCGTGTAGAGTTACATTCAAGCTATTTTAAGGCATGACGGGAAAAAAATTCAAGGAAAAAACATTTAAATACACACTTTTGTTTTTGCCCCCATTTTTCATGAGCTGAACTCAAAGATCTAAGACTTTGTCTATGTACACAAAAGGCCTATTTCTCTCAAATATCGTGTCTAAATAAATCTGTCTAAATCTGTGTTAGTGAGCACTTCTCCTTTGCCGAGATAATCCATCCACCTCGCAGGTGTGGCATATCAAGATGCTGATTAGACAGCATGATTATTGCACAGGTGTGCCTTAGGCTGGCCACAATTAAAGGCCACTCTGTTTTACTGTATTGGGGGGATCCGGGGGAAAAAATAGTTGATTGTGGCCTGTGAAATGTTTGTCCACTCCTCTTCAATGGCTGTGCGAAGTTGCTGGATATTGGCAGGACCTGGAACACGCTGTCGTATCTGTTTCGAACTCCCAAAACAAACTCCAAACTAAGTTAGTTTTGTCCGAAATGACGTCACATCAGTTCATTCTTCGATTTCGCTTGAAGTATATCGGGGCCTTTAGTGCAGTTCATTTGAATAAGTGTGAACGCTGCCATCTTGAACCCTTGTGAGAACCAAACAAGCGGATAGAGACCACTCCACACGATCAAGCCACATGATTTGAGGTATCATCTTGTCTGTAGTGCAACAAGTGCAGGGCAAGATAAGTTCAATAGTTAGGGTTCTGGGTTTGTTCAAATCATTTACCCCAAGTACGAGCGATAACAAACTTCACTAACAAGCGATGAATCAATCTGGATAGAGTTCATCGCACTCACAATCACTGTTGCTGATATCATATTTCATCTGGTGATATTGTAATAATCATTTTCTCCTGTGTGGACAACTCTAGGGGTCCCAGTACTTGCCCTTGGGGGACACCCATCCATCTGCTGTGGGCCGGGAAAGGGGTGGGGCAGACAGTTCTGATTACACTCCTGTTCTCACATGAAGCTTTGAGGATTAACCATCATTAGATCCTCAGACCAATATGTGCACCCAGCACAACAGCCCGACTGTATTCACGGTCCATGTTTATACGCACAAACACCCGTCGTCCAATCAGCTTCTCCAGCTCGCACTGGCTCCTCCTTCCCGCCAGGACCGGAATGTGAGGTCTGGTGGAGTTGGGTGTCCGTGGGTGTTGATTACTAGAGCCACTGAGTCTCAGTGTGGAGTTTGCAAGCGATGCAAACCTTCTCTCTGCATCTCTCTCTCTCTCTCTCTCTGTAACTTGACCCTTTGACCGCCTGGCTCAGCCCAGCCATATATATACACCTCCAATTCTTTCACCCGCGCACAGCCATATGGGAACGTCTAATTTGAGTTTGGCCGCACTCCGCCATTCCATACTTCACATTTTATTACTAACCGCTTGGACCGTGTGTTCAGCTCAGCTGCGACGCTCATATTTTGAACCTGTTCGTCAATTTGACTTAATAAGAAACAATATCCTGTCTATGAGAACTATGTCAGCACATAAAAAGAAAAGATTAGAAGATCGTCTCATAACATGATGATTTTCTGATGCCAACTTCATTATAATGCAGTTGATTTTATTATATTGTGTATTATTGAGATGGGTCGATCAAGCATTCTGCGATCGTATATTTATATAATAACCATAACATCCGGTAGTCAGACCCTCTCCGAACTTCCAATGCAAACACTACCGTTCAAAAGCTTTGTGCGAATCTAAGTGTGCGAATCAGTGTGAAGTTACTAAAATAGAGTCTTTTAATGAAACTTAATGATACTTTGCTTTTAATGTTTAGAGGATATGACTCAAACAGAGTGATGTTGTCCCGAATGTTTTGATATCTCAGCTTGAAGAAGATATGTAAAAACACTGTTGATGTGATGTATACATATATATTTATTTTATATATATATAAAATCTATATTTTATGTGTGTTTTTCTGTGTCGCAGGTTTGGGGTGTTGGCAGCGATGACCGGACCGTGTATTTTCGTCATGGCGTGACAGGCACAGAGGTCACCGGAAGGTCATGGGTCGCAGTGTCGGCTCAGCTTGATAGCAGCAAAAGCATAAATCATTCCAGGTAGTGGAAAAACACTGTACAGGACAGTGATGCCCGACATGCCCTGTTTAAATAGGATCCAGAGGGGACCTAGAAAACAGAACTTATGACTTTAAAGGAGAAACATTAGGTCTATAAAAGCTTCAGTTAGCTTAAAACAGTTAACATCTTAGCACGTTCAATCTTTCACGTTCAATCAGTCGTTTAACCCTATAATGCCAACTGTTTTATATAACTGTCTGCTGAAAATATATCCACAACTTAACAACAACACTGAATTAGGAACACACAGTTTATTTGTCGATTAATTGCATGTAAAAGTTGTGTTCATTACTAAAATAGTGTACTGTATGTGCAAACCCCCCCTTACCCCCTCCCCCTCCCCTTGTGTGTCAAAAGGAACACATTTCTGTTTTGGTGTTGATGAAGGGTCACTTGAGCTTTATTGATGGGCTGTTGGGCAACACTAGCACAGCAGGATCCTCATATTTCCCGTCCGTCCAGCAGATGGCGCTGTGTGTGTCAGTGCCCTGAATGCTTCTGTGTCTTTCCCAGTGTCCATGCGCACGGTGATGCCGGTGTGTTCGGTGGTGATGTCACCGCTCCTTCCCAGGGATCCGTTCTGGGCTGTGATGACACGGACATCCCGAAGCCACGTGTTCCCAAGATCACGAGTGACAGCTTTATCTCTGCGCTGGTGTCGGATCGCTCCGCTCCACTACACGACCCAACAGTGCCTCCCGATGTACCTGAGGGAGACCAGGTGACCGGCCCAGAGTCCGGTTCCTCTGTCCCGACCCCGACGCCATGGAGCAATGTAGACCTGGAGGAGATGAAGGCCTCGGTTCCCAGGAGCTCAGTGGCCACGTATCCCATCGAGCTGCAGCACAACACGGTAGAGCAGGAGGACACGCCGCCCTGGGCCTGGGTAACCGGTGGAGGATGTGACATCCATTCCAGATCACATGTCGACTGGTTTAACACCTCAGGTGCAACCCAGTTAAAGGGATAGTTCATTATTTACTCACCCTCACGTCATTCCCAACACTTTACTCGAAGCCTCTGTGTATAATGCATTATAGGTATTGATGTTGGCTTATGCGTTATTTCTTTTCATAAATAATTGTAAACAAAGTTCAAATGCATGTTAATACTTGCAGAATTCTTGTTACTTTTGAAATAGGTTGCTTTAATGCATTATACTTTCTGAGATTCATGAGATCATACAATGCATTACAGGGCATATTTAATACTTTTATAATGCGTTGTGTATGTATAAAGGCTTTAAGTAAAGTGTAACCGGTTTGTCAGAATGTGCAAATGCCTCAATTGACCGAGGCTGCCAAGATTAAAGACAACTCAAAAGTATCATAAAAGCGGTTTATTCGACACATACACTATATTCAGTTTCCCCATATTCAAGAATGCCGCATCAAAACGTGTGACATTAATGATGGCATACGGCACAGGTTCTCATGCGTCTCTTAATCGATCATTTGAATATGAACATGAAATAGACATGAGAAATGAGGAATTTGACATTCAGTTTTAATGGCTAAGTTTTATATTCATAATGTTTTGGGGATAAAGGCCATTAAATGGTTAGTAATGGCCTTGACTAGTAAAAAAATCATCACACTGCACAACATTCACGGTCAATATTGTTGCACATTTAAGATCTGTTTTTAATTCTGAGAGTTGAAATATTGAGCTTACCAGGGACAATGCACATCCCCAATAAAACTTTTTGAAAGAAATTATTTTATTCACCAGATCTGGTACGCATTGAATCCACATGTACCAGATGTGGCCCGGATCTGGGCCGACACTATGTTGCTGTCTGGGAATGCATTACACGGATCAAAAGTGGCAGTAAAGATTTATAATGTTACAAAAGCTTTCTATTTCAAAGAAATGCAGGTGTTTTTTTGCACTTTCTATTCACCAAAGAATCCTGAAAAACTTGTTTTAAATTGTAATAATATTTCACAATATTACTGTTTTTACAGTGTTTTTGATCAAATAAATGCATCTTTGTTGAGCATAAGATACGTCTTCTGAAACGGTAAATTATCTTTTGAACGGTAGTGTAACAGGGTGAATGATGTCCCTCCCTCAATTATATATATATATAAAAAAAATATTCAATGAAATTGTCCGGGAGGTTTTGGCGATATAAAAGCAAGTCTCTACTGTGTTTGATTCTCTCAGATACCGGGCCGCTCTCTCCAGCCATCACCCCTGCCCTCGGTGCTCCACACACAGAACCAGGAGCCGCCGGAGAGAAGGTACTGCACTGTGAGCGGCACATGAGAGAATACGTCAATGGTGGATCTCAAATCATGCTCTGTGTGTGTGTGTGTGTGTCAGTCCGTGCGTGTGACGACAGGTCGCATGTGTTGGTGGAGGGACTGGGCTCCTCATGAGTGGGAGGACGTGAGCGTGACGCTGGAGCAGGTCACCGGTGCCGGAGCTCAGACAGGAGACATACTTTACCTCCACTACACTCAGCACCTGGACAAGAAGGTAGCACACACCGGGAGTGTGTGTTACCTTATTATTACCACAAAGTGCACTTTTTTAAAGTCTACCTCTGGTGCTCGTCGCATGTCTATATTTTAGTTCGATTATGTTTTTGGTAACACTTTATTTCGATGGTCCACTTTAGACGTTCTACTAACTATAAGTAACTTTGCAACTACATGTCAACTAACTGGCATTAGAGTATCAGTAGACTGTCTGCTTAATATCTGCTAACACTTTATTTTGATGCTCCCCCAACAGATATTCTGCTGACTATAAGTAACTTGGGAACTACAAGTCAACTTATTCTACTAACCCGAACCCGAACACCTAACTATAACCTAACAGTCTACTAATACTATGAGAGTTAGTTGACATGTAGTTGAAAAGTTACTTCTAGTTAGTAGAATGTCTAAAGTGGACTGTTGAAATTAAGTGGAACCATGGTTTTTTTTTTTTTTTTTTTTTAGGGGATTTGATGGTACTAAATCATATTTACAATGTATTTAAAATCCATTTATTCACTTTTTGAGCATAGACCTGAAAATTTAATTTCCAACTTAAGCTGTCGTAAGTCTTCAATGCTTTAGAGCACAGACTTGAGTTTGATCTCTTTATAAAGACGACATTTGGCAAATTATTGCTGAAGTGAAAAAAGTTTTAAAAGTTTTAATGTTTATTGTTATTAAAATGCACAAAAATACTATTTAATTTTTTTATATGAAAAACACATTTTACTCCAAAACTGCAAGAAAATCTAATCCATAAATCTAAACAAGTTGTGTTCCAAATGTTATCTAAAAAAATTAGCTTTCAGTCAGATTTTGTTTGGCCGCAGTACAGTCTCCACTAGATGAAATTCATTTCCCATTCATTTCCAATGCCGTCATGTTTGACTGCGAGGAGCACAAAGTGTGACTATTTTTTTCAGGACCATTTAACCTTTTCGAATAATGTCCATATTTTTTTTTGTGTGTGTTCACATAGCAAATGCCAAAACTTTTAAGTTTTGTACCATTCTGATCAAGAAAAAAAAAACGTAAAATTTTTCGGTGATAAATGACCGAAGAGCACCAGAGTTAAGTGTGTTAGAAACAAATGCGTCACAAATGTGTACTCGCTTAAAGTGCACTAAAGTGGCTTTTATTTCATTTAGATTATCTGCAAGTACAGGTTTATTTTTTATTTTTTTTCAATTAAACATTAAAGATTTGAAGTACTCTACAGTTCAGAACAGTTAAATACACTTCTTTTTCACATGGGTGTGTATGGTATATCAACAGACACATGTTGACTACATTTTTAAAAGAAGAGTTCACAAGCAAAATTAAATTATGGCAGTTTGTGGACTCTTTCAATGAATGTCATTACAAATGAAGATCAAAATGAGTTTGTGTTGTTGAAGATATGAGACTGTAATCTAATCCCACAATTGTCCTGATGTGTGTGTCAGTATCTGCATGCTGTGATGAAGGAGGTGACGGCCCTGGTGCCCGTGTTGAGGGACTCTCTGTACACTATGGCGGTGTACACCGCAGAGAGGACCAGGCACAGGAGCCCCATCTTACTGGCAACTCCGTCGCAGCAGGACTTCAGCACTTGGGTAAAAAGCCCTTATGATCAGCACATTTGGATAAAAAAGGATCTCTATGACATAAAACACACACAGGGGCCAAAATGCATACAATCTTACATCTTACCAGCCATGATCCTGTATTTGCATAATCTTCTTTAAAGTGCCCCTATTATGCTATTTTAAAGGTTCATAATTTTGTTTTGGAGGTTTTCTACAATAGGTTTACATGCAAGGTCAAAAAACACATTATGAGATACATTGCAGGATTACAGAGTCTGAAACGGTTTGATAAAGGATTCAGTCTCTCTAAACCCCTCCTTTCTGAGAGCCTCCTCTGCTCTGATTGGTCAGATGACCCAGTCTGTTGTGATTGGTCTACTCTGCTCTGATTGGTCAGGTGACCCAGTCTGTTGTGATTGGTCTACTCTGCTCTGATTGGTCAGGTGACCCAGTCTGTTGTGATTGGTCTACTCTGCTCTGATTGGTCAGATGACCCAGTCTGTTGTGATTGGTCTACTCTGCTCTGATTGGTCAGATGACCCAGTCTTTTGTGATTGGTCTACTGTGCTCTGATTGGTCAGATGGCCCAGTCTGTTGTGATTGGTCTACTCTGCTCTGATTGGTCAGGTGACCCAGTCTGTTGTGATTGGGCGGCAGTGGCTCAGTGGTTCATGTAGGTTCATGTTTGCGAACCGAAAGGTTGGTGGTTCAATCCCCGGTTCCACCTGACCAAGTGTCGAGGTGTCCATGAGCAAGACACCTAACCCCAGCTGCTCCCGACGAGCTAAATGGCGCCTTGTATGGCAGACACCGCCGTCGGTGTGTGAATGGGTGAATGTGAGGCAAATGTAAAGCGCTTTGGTGGCCATTGGGTCTGTGAAAGCGCTATATAAATGCAGTCCATTTATCATTTTACCATTGGCCTACTCTGCTCTGATTGGTCAGGTGGCCCAGTCTTTTGTGATTGGTCTCCTCTACTCTGATTGGTCAGGTGGCCCAGTCTTTTGTGATTGGTCTCCTCTACTCTGATTGGTCAGGTGACCCAGTCTTTTGTGATTGGTCTACTGTGCTTTGATTGGTCAGATGACCCAGTCTTTTGTGATTGGTCTACTCTGCTCTGATTGGTCAGATGACCCAGTCTGTTGTGATTGGTCTACTCTGCTCTGATTGGTCAGATGGCCCAGTCTGTTGTGATTGGTCTACTCTGCTCTGATTGGTCAGATGACCCAGTCTGTTGTGATTGGTCTACTCTGCTCTGATTGGTCAGGTGACCCAGTCTGTTGTGATTGGTCTACTCTACTCTGATTGGTCAGGTGACCCAGTCTGTTGTGATTGGTCTACTCTGCTCTGATTGGTCAGGTGTAGTGCTGCCGCGATTAGTCGACTTAGTCGACGTAATCGACCATGCAAATTAGTCGACGCCAATTGTTTTAGTCGACGTGTCGTTTTACTATTGACCGCATATTTATTTTTGGTCTCAAACGGCTCACTGTAATTCACCTCCACACACCAGTCTGTGCGATGTGCGCGCCCTGCTGGTTAATCTGCTATCCTCTTCCTTCCCCCTCCCCCGCCTTCACTGCTTTGATATGAAAAATTGCGGAGGCAGGTGACGGTGCTTTCACACTGGGCTCGTTTGCTGCGGTCCGAGCCCGCGCGCGATTGTTCCCGGCGCCCCCGCAGCGTTGGTCTGGTTTCACACTCAACTTAATTCTACCGAACCCTGGTGTGTTTGCGTGCATCTTACGCAATCGCAAACGTACACGGCGCATGATAGAAAACAGAACGCGGGTCAATATATATATATATTTTAATTAATTCTGTGCTATTATGCGCAGCTGAGTGAACAACACAGGTGCGTGTGTCGCATAAGGTGGCCTTCTGCTGCTTGCAAATTGACTCTTTTGAGGAGACACTTTTCCAAATGTGTTGCCCTGATTCCACGGGCTAAGCGCGAATACACTGCAGACTCGCTCTCGCTCGTATCCAAGGTAAATCATCAACATTATCATCCCTTACAAGTGTTTTTTTTAACTAAATACATAATCAGCTAAAACGCGCACCCGAGTCCGTGTTGCTTTCACATTCACGCGAACCGCGGCGCGGGCCCGGCATGCACGCAAGTGTAAACGAGAGCTGCATATCTGCGTCCCTGCCTGCTTCAGCGCGATTCATTATAAGGCAGAGCTAAGCGTAGTAGGCTAGTCCAGACTCTTTCAATTCAATTCCAATTTATTTGTATAGCGCTTTTCACAATACATATTGTTTCAAAGCAGCTTTACCTAAAATGCATGAGTGCATCTACTTTAGCCTACAATTCACAGTGATGTTATCAGTTATGCATTTCAGAAATGTACATATAAAAATGTACAGTAAGCTAATGTATTAATTTAAGGCAGGACAAAGAGCTAATTTAAGTAATGCATACATGCATGTTTGTTAATAGAGGATTAGATTAGGACTCTGACTAATGGTAATGGAAATGCAGATACTTATGCTTAGATTGTTAATACATAATGTTTTTCAACAGGTGACATTTTATATTTTGGCCCTTCAGTTCAAAATAAAATGGACACAACGAAATGACAAACAATGGTTTTTTTTAAATTAGTCGTTTAGATTAGTCGACTAATCGAAAAATTAGTCGAAAGATTAGTCGTTAGAAAATTAGTCGTTAGTGGCAGCACTAGTCAGGTGACCCAGTCTGTTGTGATTGGGCGGCAGTGGCTCAGTGGTTCATGTAGGTTCATGTCTGCGAACCAAAAGGTTGGTGGTTCAATCCCCGGTTCCACCTGACCAAGTGTCGAGGTGTCCATGAGCAAGACACCTAACCCCAGCTGCTCCCGACGAGCTAAATGGCGCCTTGTATGGCAGACACCGCCGTCGGTGTGTGAATGGGTGAATGTGAGGCAAATGTAAAGCGCTTTGGTGGCCATTGGGTCTGTGAAAGCGCTATATAAATGCAGTCCATTTATCATTTTACCATTGGCCTACTCTGCTCTGATTGGTCAGGTGGCCCAGTCTTTTGTGATTGGTCTCCTCTACTCTGATTGGTCAGGTGGCCCAGTCTTTTGTGATTGGTCTCCTCTACTCTGATTGGTCAGGTGACCCAGTCTTTTGTGATTGGTCTACTGTGCTCTGATTGGTCAGATGACCCAGTCTTTTGTGATTGGTCTACTCTGCTCTGATTGGTCAGATGACCCAGTCTGTTGTGATTGGTCTACTCTGCTCTGATTGGTCAGATGGCCCAGTCTGTTGTGATTGGTCTACTCTGCTCTGATTGGTCAGATGACCCAGTCTGTTGTGATTGGTCTACTCTGCTCTGATTGGTCAGGTGACCCAGTCTGTTGTGATTGGTCTACTCTACTCTGATTGGTCAGGTGACCCAGTCTGTTGTGATTGGTCTACTCTGCTCTGATTGGTCAGGTGACCCAGTCTGTTGTGATTGGGCGGCAGTGGCTCAGTGGTTCATGTAGGTTCATGTCTGCGAACCAAAAGGTTGGTGGTTCAATCCCCGGTTCCACCTGACCAAGTGTCGAGGTGTCCATGAGCAAGACACCTAACCCCAGCTGCTCCCGACGAGCTGGATGGCGCCTTGTATGGCAGACACCGCCGTCGGTGTGTGAATGGGTGAATGTGAGGCAAATGTAAAGCGCTTTGGTGGCCATTGGGTCTGTGAAAGCGCTATATAAATGCAGTCCATTTACCATTTTACCATTGGTCTACTCTGCTCTGATTGGTCAGATGACCCAGTCTGTTGTGATTGGTCTCCTCTACTCTGATTGGTCAGATGACCCAGTCTTTTGTGATTGGTCTACTGTGCTCTGGTTGGTCAGGTGGCCCAGTCTTTTGTGATTGGTCTCCTCTACTCTGATTGGTCAGGTGACCCAGTCTTTTGTGATTGGTCTACTGTGCTCTGATTGGTCAGATGACCCAGTCTTTTGTGATTGGTCTACTCTACTCTGATTGGTCAGATGACCCAGTCTGTTGTGATTGGTCTACTCTACTCTGATTGGTCAGGTGAACCAGTCAGACTTTACTTGGACCCATTGTGCGAGCTGTCTCGTTAATACGGCGTGGTTTATATACATGTTGCTGCTGATTGGGCCGCCATTTTTGACAAACCCACCAAACAAGAGAAAACGAATCTCAAACCCTGTTGCACACCATTTCCAGGAATTATGTCTGTCGGTCAACCCGGAAACCGTAGCAAAACGTTGCGCACCGGTTTGAGCTTGAACGTGCCCCATGTGACCCAGTATGTTGTGATTGGTCTACCGCTTACAGTGTGTGTCCATTACTATATCTTCAACCAAACTCTTCTAGGCCTCAGCTCAGTGGGTTTTCTTTGGCAGCGCTGAAAACAGCGTCTTCTGGACATGTCAACATCACAAACTAAACTCTTCTAGGCCTCAGCTACAACTACAGAGAGTCGAAGTAGACGTCGTGCAGACCATTATCATTCACAAACCGCTATATTACACACTGAAAGGTTGCATCCAAAAAAGCATAATAGCCGCACTTTACCAACGAATAAATTATTCTCATGTAGAACATATGTCTTGCCCAAAATCAAAAGAAAAAAAGAATTTATATTTGCACAAAGAAAATGAGATTTCTAGAGTAACAGCATGTTTTTGTGTGTGATCTTTGCAGCTGTCTCTGCTGAACGAGTCGTGTTGTGAGTCCAGGGGTCTCGGAGACCATCCATCCAAGCAGGCGCTGTGGGCTGTGACATGTAAAGGTGATGTCATGGTGCATGAGCCATCACCCAGCCTGGAGGCGCCGGCGCAGTACTTGCCCTGCGATCACATGTAAGACCCTCCCCGTCTGTCTGTCTCTCACTATATCTCCGTCCTAAACCTAGTTAACTGCTTCACTGTCTGCTTTCTACATCGACAGCACCTTCACACATAGAGCTCCTCGAGCAAAGCACACGGGAGGCTCGACTCACAGTTGATTTCTAAAGAGTTTGGCATTAGCATGTTGCTAAGCTAACAACACCATATTCTAGAAAGCTTGTAGCACAATAGTTCATTTTAAAGTAGATTGAACTATGTTTTTATGAATACATTTACGACTTTTCTATACACTCCGCCTGCCATCTCCATTCAACGCACTGCATTGTGGGATTACATGCAATCCTGTCTTTCAGTTTGGCCAGAGGTGTCTTATAAGCAGTTTTGGGGAAGCTACTTTGAAACTAGCTAAGCTAAAAAAAGAAATTAACAAGTTAAACACTAAACTACAAGTTACTAAGAAAGTAGCTTTTTCGTTTTTTTTTAAGATTTAAGAGGGCAATACATTTTTATGAAACTATAGGATTATATAATTCATAACTTCATCAGAGCCGTATTTCTCTGGTTCTATGGGGTTTTGAATGAGTTCATATGGATGAGGGTGACAACAACTATGAACTTGATCTTATAAATTTACACTTAAGATAACTAAAAAGAGAAAACAGAGTCAAAAACAGAAGCAATTAACTATATTAAATATGATACAAATATTCGAGTAAAAGACAAAATATTGCACAAGGGTTTCTGTGAAGCAGTGCATTGTTTCTAAACGGATATTGACATGAATCTATTCAACGAAACAAATCTACGTATGAAAGAGGACAATTTAGCTTGCTTGACTAAACCTGTGTGCAATACAGTATGACAATAACAACAGCAATGTACGGTACATGTGGCGTTTGGTCATTAAACCATTATTTTATTTTAATTATTCTTCAAGTTTTTATTAAGTAAAGTAAAATGACGTTGAAGTATACTTTATGTAGTAAGTACACTAATATCAGTGCACTCGTAGTCTACTATTTCAACAATTATTGGGACTAAATTAACCCACTTTTAGTTTAGAAATGTATAATTTTAAGCATACTTAAAGTGCAATAGTCTAAGTTGTTGGGTTTTTTTGCATTGCAACTATAATAGTGAACTTATAGGTATGCTGCTATTTTATATATCCCAGCTAACGAAAATACGTTCCAAGAACTTTTTGCTAATAATCAGATTAATTTATGAAAACGTTATTTTTGAATGTTCTCTTAACTTTCAAAAATGTCCAGTTTTCAAATGTTTTAAAAAAGTTTTTCTCGGTTATGCGAACATTAAAGAAACATTCCCATTTCATCCAAATTTGCAAACCGTAAATAGTCGGCTCCTCCCAAACACTGCTTGTAAAGCAGATTAACACTGCGTTTTGAAACGGCCCCTGTATAGTACGAGCCTAAACTGCTGTCCACATTGGCAGCTCACTAGGTTTTGAGCTGGAGATTCATAATTTCATAATTTAAGCTTGCATGCCACCCAACTGTTTGATGCGTTTGATTTGGTGTGTGTGAATGTGTGTCTGTCACTGTAATGCGTGTGTGTTGTTGGGCTTGGCATGCTTCATGTGTCTGTCCGCGTACCTGCTGTGGGCTCAGGTTCTGGCGTCAGGTTCCTGCTCATCTGCTGTGTGTGGAGTCTAGCAGTCTGGGTGTGGTGTGGGGCATCGGTCACGATCACACAGCCTGGGTCTACACAGGGGCCGGCAGGGGACCATCGGCTCCGGGTAAACACACACCCTAACCATAACCCTGCATGCGGCTAACCCTGTCTCTCTCACTAACCTACATCCAGTTCTGATGCCCAGCCTGACAGCACATAGTGTCGGCCCAGATCTGGTACGTGTGGATTCAACGCGTGCCGGATCTGGGCCGACAATGTGCTGTCAATGTTCAAAGAATGTCTTGCTAACGTTTCCATTAAGTTATATGAATGTTAACCCTTGTGTTATGTTGCGGGTCAATTTGACCCGTTTCGATTTTCTAGTTGTTGGAAATACTGGTCAACCTTTGTTTTTTTTCTTGATATTTTGTGACTTTTTCTCATTTATCATGATGAACATGCATGCAAAGTTTCAACATGCTGATGTGTTTTGACATATACAAACAAAATTACTATTACGTTCGTGATGTTCGCGGGTCAATTTGACCCTCATAGACAGCCATTCAAAAGCAACTGTACAGACACAAAATAAAAACATTTATATTCTGTATGTCAGGGCACTTCAACTCCAGTTCTAACTAGGGATGTAACGATTCACTCATCTCACGATGCGATACGATTCACGATACTGGTTTCACGATACGATTTTCTCACGATTTTTTTTAACAAGTGAGATTTAAGACAAAAGTGTCCCTTTTATCATTTCTCAGACAAAATGCTGCACATTTCTTTTTAATTTAAAATATATTTGTCAAATAATAAAACTACATTAAAAAAATTCCCTTCAAGGTTGTTTCAACTCAGTCTTTCTGTCTGTTTGGTCAAGAGGCTGGACACTGGTACCTTCGCACACTATGTAAAAAACTGTAAAATTAGTACCAGATTGACAGGGGTTTTACACTGTAATAAAGGCAAGATTCTAATTTTGTTATAATTTGTATCATTACACTAGTAAGAGTTAAAAAAACACATTTAGAGAAAGGTAGTAAAATAAATATAGCAGTGATCTCCGTGGGTCTCGCAATTGTAGTATTAATGACTTTTACATGAAAACGGAGGTGACTGGTGCTTCTCACGGTGGTGATTATTATTAGTCTACGGAAAGTCAAAATGCCGCCACACCTCCGATTTGAGTCAACGTCAACATCTACGCTTGCCGTCGCCATGTCTACTGTTTGACGGCGCGTGCACACCAGTCGGCACACACTGGCGCGGCGCGAGCGGAGCAAACCGAGCGTTTTCAGTTCATTCCTATGGAAGTTGAGCTTGGCTTACACAGGATCAAGTTCCATGAATGAAGTGAAAACACTCGCTAGCTTCACGCCAGTGTGTGCTCGCTGCTATTGTGCCTGTAACGCGAGGTTCACAACTTCACAGTAGGCTATACAGTAAACGCGCCCTGCTGTTTAAAACGTGTATCGCGATTCGTTTAACATTTCAACCAACTTGAATCGTCACACATTTTTATCGATTTTCAACCGGTTGCGAGTGAATCGTTACATCCCTAGTTCTAACGTGCAAGTGCATCTAAAAGTGCTCTAACCCTAAGCAAACACACTTGAAAAAGCTAAAATTACAGTGTTTAGAATTATTTGCAAATTACAGATGAAAATCTTTGTCAGACACAGATAGTAAAATAAGCTAGTAAAATTTCAATATTCAAGATATCTAAAATACCTAGCTTTTAACCAAAACGTTTATGTAGGATTTTCAAAGGCAGCTTCACAGAGCCAAAAAATAAATAAAAAACATTTATTTGATGTATGATTTTGTTATGTTTGGTTTCTCACTTCCCTGTGAGTGAATAATGAAACTAGGAAAATAGGTCTTAGGAAACTAGGGAAAGTTAACTTATACAGCAAAATTTTATTGTTCAGTTACGATGTTCAAAGCATAAAAAGTAAAAAAAGTCAGTATACTGTTTATTTTCCGATTTTTTTCAAAAATTGGTTTAAAAAATGGTTATTTTCATAAATCATATTTTCAGATATAATGTTTTTGTAATGTTTGACAAATGTTGATATTAAAAGTTTACAGTTTGTATCTAAATCTTTGTTGTTTTTCATAGTGTGATTTTTGAGGAATTGTATTGAATCCAATTAGGGTCAATTTGACCCGGTCCATAAAGGGTGTACACAGAATTCGAACAGTGCACAAGGGACAAAGATTGCTTTGAGCAAACATTCTGTTAATGCCACTTAGATAACTTTGGCGAGAACGTTGTCAGAACGTTAGCCGACACTCAGAGAACGCTCGCTGTTAGCTGGGTGAGCGTATGCTGTGTTCTGGATGCTGGTGTGCTGATGTTCCCATGAGGTTTCACCAGTTAGACCAGTACCGAACCAGTATAAACCAGCCTGGTTAAACCAAGCTGAACCTTGCATCAGGATGGGATATTCAGTATATACTAGGGGTGTAACGATACCCTCATGTCACGATTCAATACATATCACGATACTGAACTCACGATACGATATTATTGCGATACTCCAAGAAATATGATAAAAGCTTAACAAAAAATATGCTGTTGATTAAAATGCTAAATTTGATATATCATTGTGTGTGTAAATGAATAGGCTTGGACTTGGTGCTGGAAACTCAATGCACAGGACAATAGAGACACCAGAATAACAATATTCATGATTCTGAAGCTGAAAACATTATTTTAGACGAATATGCTTGCACTCTGTCACAGACTAGATATATTTAAAATAACGTAGGCCACTTTTACTGGTAACATAAGATATTTGGCATTATCAGGACCCTTAAATATTCCCCCATTGCATTATTATACATTATATTCAACATTATATATAGTAGTTTAACTCTAAAACTCTGAAAACTTGAATTTTTCTCACACAGTAATTATTGTGGGTGAACTATCCACGATACATATTGTTGCATTTTTGTATTGTGATATATTATGACACTATATATTGTTACACCCCTGCTATATGGATGATAGAATTACATTCAAAAACATAGTCACTGATCTTCCCAATCACCTTTAACCTTCCCAAAACATCGGGTCCTCATTCCCGAATTACTCGTATTAATATGGAGAACTTCTCTCAGAAAAGTTCCTCCTCATTCACAACTCTTGCATACACACATCAATTTTGTGCTCCAAACATGTGGACATGGTGTTGGGGAAAATATATGAGATGGGAGGAAAAAAAATAAGTCCATGTTTTTGCGTTCTCTCGCAAATGTGTTTCGTTCCCCTGAGAAACTTTGTGTTCGTTCGCAAACCGTTTTGCATTCGCTCGTTGTGTTCGTTTCTCAGGAGAATGCAAAACATCCAAAATATTGCTAAATAATTTTTCCTCCCGTCTGATTTTTTCTTCTTCACCGTGTCCCTGCAGGGGCTCCGTACATTTGTTCTTACCCTTATTGTCTAATGTTAACGAATTTGCCATTTTCTAGTTGAGCAACCATGTGACCGAGGTTAGTAATCTACACAATACACACCCAAACCATCTCCATATAAGGGCTTTTCTGACCTCTCCTCCACAGCCTTGCATCACTAAAATTATTCAGTTATGAAATTATTTTGGTAATTGAAATAACGGTGCAATAAATTAAAAATAGCAAGTTTAAAGGGACAACGTACCTAACAAACGTAGAAATTTTGCCTACTAAAATGATCAAAACAATCAAAATGAATAAAAATGACTAAAGCACATAAAATTACCAATACTTAAAATTAAAATGTAAATATAAAAATAAAATCTAAATCCAAAATATGAATACATACTATAATAGTACATAAATAATACGTTTCCATTGAGAAATACTGTAACAGACAGTATTTCATTATATACTGTATATATGTATAATTACAATAAAATGTGTTAAAGTTAAAGTGTGTACATGTTTATGTTCATATTACCTAAATTCTTTGTAAATTTTGAATAAATTGCGATTTAAAAACAAAACAAAAAAAAAGAAAACACTGGATCATTGGATTCTGTGCTCAAATGCACAGTTGGTGTATGTGAAACCAGTGTTTTCTCATTTTCCCAATTGTCCTTTCATTTCAAATAAGACATCCTGTGAGTCTAGATCAGCATGTCGAGTCTTTCTATGAAAGAGCAGTTGCGTCTGCCTGATGTTTGAAACTGTGGGGTTTCAGGGAATGAAGTAAGTGATGTGAGGAGCGTGTGCATCTATGAGAACCAGCGCTGGAACCCCATGACAGGATACACAGACAAGTGAGTGTGATGTGACGGAGCTGGTGTGTGTTTGTATAAAGCAAACGCTCAGTGTGTGTGTGTGTGTGTGTGTGTGCTCTCCTCCTCAGGGGTCTTCCCACTGACCGCTACATGTGGAGCGACTCGTCGGGTCTGAGAGAGTGCACTAAAGACAACACCAGCACCCCCTCGCCACAGTGGACATGGGTACACAACCTGCAGTCTTTATAGCGTGTGTCTCTGCAATGCTATTTAGATTAGATGGTTATTGTCTGCGAGTGATTTCCTCATCTCGTGCTCACAGGTCTCTGATTGGGCCGTAGACTACAGTGTCCCGGGAGGGACAGATAAAGAGGGCTGGCAGTACGCTGCAGATTTCCCTGTGTATGTTGATTTTGGGACATATTAATGAACGCTAGCTAGACGTTTCTATTTCAAACTAATATATTATATGTTTTTTATGTACATACAGGACCTTTCACGGTTATAAGACAATAAAGGATTTTGTGCGGCGCAGAAGGTGGGCTCGGTGAGTTCACTTTTTTGCTGATTTTGAACATTTTGATACATGGATTAACATTAACATTTTTAGCAACGTTTTACATCTGTTTCTTTCTAATGTTGGGCAAAAAATGTAAACCACTAACTCCCACAGCAGCCCCTATAGAAGCCCATTTCTGACACACAAGAAAGAAAATACTGCTTTTGAAAAACATAATTATGACATAAAAAGTCACAATTATGACAAAAATCCCAAATTATGACATACTAAATCATTATGAGATAAAGTCAAAATTATGACAAAAATCAGAAATGTAGTCATTATGAGATAAAAAGTCAAAATTATGACAAAAATCATAAATTCTGACATAAAAATCCGAAATTCTGACATAAAAATCATGAATTTTGACATAAAAATGCGAAATTATGACATAAAAATGCACAATTATGACATAAAAATCATAAATTATGACATAAAAATCCGAAATTATGACATAAAAATCCGAAATTATGACATAAAAATCCGAAATTATGACAAAAATCATAAATTATGACATAAAAATCCAAAATTATGACATAAAAATCCGAAATTATGACATAAAAATCTGAAATTACGACAAAAATCCGAAATTGACAGTCATTATGAGATGATAAGTCAGAATTCTGACATAAAAATCCGAAATTATGACATAAAAATCCAAAATTATGACATAAAAATCAGAAGTTGACATAAAAATCCAAAATTATGACAAAAAAACTAAATTGACACTGTCATTATGAGATAAAAAATCAAAATTCTGACATAAAAATCCGAAATTCTGACATAAAAATCCGAAATTCTCATACTAAGTCATTATGAGATAAAAAGTCAAAATTATGACATACAAATCTGAAATTGACTGAAAATTATGAGAAAAAAATTTCTGAATTATGAAATTCTTACTTCAAAGGTAAAAATTATGACACAAAAATCCAAATTTTGACATAGTAAGTCATTATGAGATAAAGTCAAAATGATGACAAGAAATTCCAAATTATTACATGCTAGGTCGGAATTATAACTTTAAATTCAAAATTATATGACATTGAATAGTCAAAATTATGACAAAAATTCTAAATTCTTACTTCAAATATCAAAATTATGACAGTCGTAATTATATCAAGTCGAAATTATGACAAGAATTCTAAATTATGAATTAGACATAATTACATAAAAAGTAAATATGATGACACCAAGTCATAATTATGAGATAAAAAAGTTAAAATTATGTTAAAAGTATAATTATGACAGTCATATTTTTGACTTTTTAATCTCAAGTAACTTGTCATAATTTCGACTTTGCAATGCCTCTAACTTATGCCATAATTATGACTTTTTATTGCACAATGATGACTTGGTATGTGATAATTTCTGCTTTTTATGTGATAATTTTGACTTTGTATGTCATCGTTTTGACTTTGAATGTCATAACTTTGAGTTTTTATCTTATAATTATGACTATTTATGTCGTTCTGATTTCCCAGAGCATGATTTGTTTTCTAGTGTGTCAGAATTGTGCTGTGTGTATAAGAAAGGATGTTGTGTCTCACAGGAGGTGTGAGATCAGCCTCACGGGCCCCTGGCAGAAGGTCCCGCCGATCCCCCTGACTGACGTCACCGTCCTGCCGTGTCTGGCTCAGAGCGGCCTGGAGCAGATTCCAGTGTGGGCCATCAGTGAGAAGGGGGATGTGCTGTGCCGGCTGGGGGTCACTGCAGAGAACCCGGCTGTGAGCACCAAACACACACACACACACACACACAAAACACTTCACCAACATTTCATTTCATTTGAAACGATGACCTCAAGAAACATTAGTAATCACCAAATCCCCAATGGCGCAAGTCCCAGAAAAGTAAAGCCTGGTTGTGCCTTGTGCCTTGTAAATACATCACACATAACTGACAGAATTATTAATAACCCATGTCTTTTCTTGAAGCTGAAAGTCAGAGCAAAATGGTTAATAATAACAGTCTTAACTCTTTCCCGGCCAATGACGGAATTTCCCGTCTTTCCGTGTTTTCACTGTTATACAGTAGGGGGCGCTATTGCACAAGAGTACAGACTCTCCCGATCAAAACACAGGCGAAGAAGAAGCAGAAATGAGCGGTAGCATAATTATGTAATCAGATGCATATGTAAAATAACCCGATCATTAACATTAAACAGCATATAAATCAAAACTGCCTAATGTTACCGAATGAAATGTCGCCCCAGAACGAGCTTTAGGGGTGTTGATGGACTCGACCTACTCCATCTGTGTTTTAATCATCATTTTGAATCCGATCTTTGGCAAAAACAAGTTTTATATATATATATATATATATATATGAAACTTACCCATATTCAAGTGTTAAAAGAATGCATGAAGCTTTTTTTGTTTAAAAGCAAAAGCTCTGTTGTTTCGTTTGACATATTGCATGTTCAGATGTTCATACAACAAAATGTGTTTAAAATGATCAAAAACGATGGCGGGGGAAAGTAAAAAAAAATAAAAGTGTTAACCTGTTAACTGTCATCCCCCTTTTTTTTGATTATACATGAAAATGCACATTTTTGTAATTCAAGAATGCAGACGTAAGATTGGTCTCGTTTTAAAGAAGACATTTGGCAGATTTTTGTAGAAGTGAAATAAATTAAGAAAGTGAAACAGAAAAAAAGTTATAGAAGTTTGAGTTTATGAAAATGTACAATGTAAAAAATTGAATTATTCATATTTTATAAAAAAATATATATATTTTCAAAACCTGGGCGACTCTAAAACTGCAGAAAAATCAAAGCCAAAAATCTGAACAAGTTGTGTTTCAAATTTTAGGTTGATATCTCAAAAAATGAGCTTTCAGTAAGATTTTGTTTGGGCGCAGTACCAAACTTCTTCACTAGGTCGCAACCAGACTCCATTACTGCCCATATAAGGGCGTCTCCATTTCCATATGTGTTTTGAGTGATATGAACCATTATTTCCACAATTGTCATACAATTTATGAAGTAGACATCCTATTCCGAAGTAATATGAGAAGTTTGGTAGATTTTGATATGAATTAAACCTCTAAGAAACACACAAAAAGAACAAGTATGTGCGTTATAGCTTCCTGCCACATCACAAATGGTGAATCTATAATTTTTTTCTTTATATTTAAAAACATTTCAGACCTTTTTTTCTAATATAATTGAATGGATGCTATCTTTTGAACTCTTGGCATGAAAACAAACTGAAGTTTCTTCCCTTCTTTCATGATTTTTCATGTTCATCACTATTTCAAAATAAAGGTCTGAACACGTTGATAAATTACGGCTCCTCTGTAATTTATTTTGAAAATCAACCAATGCATATATCTGCTATAGTATCCTACAAAACTCTCATCTCAACCCAGACAGCAACATAGTGTCGGCCCAGATCCGGTGCATGTGGATTCAACACGGATCCGGGCCGGAACTATGTTGCTGTCCGGGAATGTATGGCATCAGTGTTCAGAGGGTGAATATGGCTCTGTCTGTTCTCATGTCGAGTCCTGGTGTCCTCTAACCTCTGACTGTGTCTCAGCACAGGGCGACTCCTGGCTCCACGTCGGGACAGACCAGCCCTTCAAGTCCATCTGTATAGGAGGAGGACACCAGGTGTGGGCCATCGCCAGGGACGGGGCCGTCTTCTACCGGGGCTCTGTGTCTGCGCTCAATCCGGCTGGTGAGAAGAAGCACCCCGATCCCCATTTCAACCAGGGAATGACGATATGCCAAATACTTTCCAAATTCAACAACTCGTGATGAACATGATACCGTTAGACCCGTTACATTTTGAAAAAAGTACTTTTTTTAAGTTGTGGTTACAAAAAAAAATCAATCAAAAATAGTTTTGAAAATGTTGAAAGGTAGCAGGATTGATAGTTTACAGTGAAAATATGAATGTATTATTAGTAGATTTTATGCTGATATTTTAGGACTATAAAATAAAGAATAACTGACAGCAACAAATATTAGAATTTTTTTTTTTTTTCAAATTTCAACTATGAAAACCTATTCTAGGAGAAAACAAAAACAAGACTTTGGGGGGAAAAAAGGCATATTAGGTCCCCTTTAATAGTGCTTAATACCGTTTTTTTTAAGTTACTGTTTTTTCTTGTTATTTTCAGAAAAATGCCAACTTTACCCGAATTAAACTGTTGTCATTTACACTTAAAATGAAGAAAGGCACACCCATTTTGTTAAATTTCTCATTTCTCAGGCGAGTGCTGGTACCACATCCCGTCTCCGCCGAGGCAGATGCTCAAACAGGTGTCTGTGGGCAGGACCTCCGTCTATGCTGTGGATGAAAACAGTGAGACAGTTGTTTCTACTCACTTCTCTTGTTATTTGGTTGAATCGAGCTGTGTGTGCTCTGAATAACTCTATCTTCATTGGGAGTGTGTCGATTCAAAGCATGCACGTTTTTCTGTTTATGAGTGGTTTGGAAAACCTGGATGATACAAACAGAGCACAGCTCCTTTTCCTTTTCAGCCCTAAACATCAGTCTTAACTTCCTTGATTTGATTTGTCTGCCAAAGGACATTTTTACACAAATTAGGATTAAAGGCACAATATGTAAGATTTTTTCGCCACAAGAGGGCGCAGTTTCCAACAATAACACAGGCGTAGGTTGATGACGCAGTGATGAGCTGAATGATGGGACTTGCTGTCAAGCTGATGGATCTAATAATGTTTATGGATGAGTGCAAACATTCATGTTTTTTAACATTACAGTGGTATGAAGCAGGTCGCGATTGCTAAAGAGACAGATATCACACACGAGTCCCGCGGATATAAAGGAATAAGGACATTTAATTCTACCGAACTGCCAGCGAGTGCTGGATTACTCACACAGGTCAGTTTATTAGACGAATTAAACTTGTGAGGTAACGCAGCGCTGCTTCACTCGGTCTCACACTAAACGGCATTTAAAAGTGTGTTGAAAGTTATAATGTTATTCTACGTGTTAGTTCGTTTGCTATACGAAAACTAGCAGTAAGCTAGATCAACATTAGAATAACTGACCATATTCTAACATTTCATCATGTTGAGCTAACGTTATATAACATTGATTTGTTTTATGTACATTTGCTCACCTGTCTAATAAAGCTGTCAAGTCGTGACTCGTGAAGCTGTGTCGAGTCCAAGTTAGTCGCGGACGTGGAGCTCTCGGCATCTCAAAAACGCCACGCTGATATTGATCCTCATTTTAGTTCTCCTTGTTTGTCCCAAAGTCTGCTTGCCATGGTCTATGTTTGAAAGAAACAAGAACTGTGTGCCGCTAAACGTTACGCACTACGCAGTTGTCCACGTCTGTCGCCATGGTTACGTCATGGCTATGGCAGTACGAGCGGAAACCGAGGATAGTGCGGATATTGCGTCATTGACAGGCGTCATTTTTTTCCGGGACGACAACTTATTTAAAATGTGAATTTCTCTGAAATAAAAAATCTTTGGAGACTTTTGGGATATTGTAAGTACACAACTGCAGGAAATATATCACACTGTGCAAGTGATTTTTGGATATTTTATTACAAAATTCTTACATATTGTACCTTTAAGAGTAACCTTTATTTCCCAAGGAACTAGAAGACACTCACTGAATTAAAAATGCAACGCGATGATGTCAATGCAGCACTGTTATGTGAAATGTCTTTCAAATACTGAGCAGAACATCTCTCCAGTGGAGTCTGAGCTCAGTCTGTTTGTGCAGGTAATCTGTGGTACAGACAGGGTTTGACACCCAGCTATCCTCAGGGTTCTGCATGGGAACTCATCTCCAGTAATGTGTGCAAGGTGTCCGTGGGACCACTGGACCAGGTTTGTGACCTTTTATGTTTGAGTTTTGATGTGTTGACTAACATACTAGAGCCCTGCACGGGCCTCAAATCTAGGCCCTAGCCCGGCCCTGCCCCGAGACGCTCAGGCCCTAGCCCGGCCCGTGTCCGACAGCTCATCAGAATGATCAGCCCGAGTCCGACCCGAGCCCGTAAAAAAAAAAAGAAAAAAAAAAGGATAAACAGCCTGACCTATGTTGCAGTCAGTAAACCAACCAGATATATTTTGTTTTCAATGGCAAAGTATTTACCGGTAGGTTTATTTTCATTTCTTTATAAAGTTAATTAAGAAAAAACAAAAAACAAAATTTATGACGACCAAGCAGCCGACAGCGAGTTAAACATGTTTGATCCATTGATTGATTTATAGCCTCTCAAATCAACACTTTACTTGGCTACAATAAAATCCATAGATATAAAACAACTTAAGCATATCACACAGACAGTTAACGTTAGTTTAAACGTTTATTGTCATTTTTGAAAAGCTGAGGCAAACTGCTCTGCTGCTCAGTCGCAACAGCGCTCGCAAACTAAATGAATTTATAATATAGGCTACAATACAGAGAATGCAATCTAAACAAATCAAATAAATTACATTAAAAACAAACATGCAGGTTATCTTACCTCAAAAATCAAGTCTTCACTACAGAACATGGCCATTTCCAATAGTTTCCAACAGACTCATGAAAATAAAGTCCAATCAAACAAAAAACAACCTCCTCCTAACATGGCTAAGAACAGTCTCAGAGCATCGTGAAGAAAAGGCACAGCATCCACAGTGGAAGGTTTTAATCCAGTCGTACTTTTTCCAGCTGCGCTGAAGTCACGCTCGCTACCATAGCGGGACACTAGAACGAGCCGGTCGCGCGAATCTCAGATCGCGCCGCCGGGAAACCTGTGTGTGTGTGTGTGCGTGAGCGTGAGCATGAGCAGACTGTCATGTGTCAGTCTTATGTCAGTGTGATAGGTTATAAAACGTCTTTCTATGTTTGCTTTTCAATCGTCATCTTCTCATGTTTTATTTTAATTAATGTCTAAAATAGGCTATAAAAAAGATAAGCCTAAAACAGGCCCGAGGCCCGGCCCGCGTGTGAACTATGACGTGAAAATTGGCCCGAAGCCCGGTGTGGTGAATAATCCGGTCACTCGGTGTGAATAGTCCGGGCGTAGGACCCAAGCAATCCGATTGGTTCAAAGCTCGTTTTATAGGTAATCGCTTTGGTGCCTGGTTACAAATCATACAAAATCACTTTATTATAGAAGACGTTTGTACTACGGTATAACGAGTCATTAATGTATTTAATGTATTTTAAATTATACGTTTCATATACTAGTATTTAACCGAAGCTATAGATTGTGAAATTAAACATTTCTCGTTGTTAGTGTGTTTTTTAGTTAGCTTAGATAGTAGCATAGCATACAGCTAACGTTATCCGATGATCGTGCTATGAGCTTTACCTGAGCTTATACCACTGCACTGATACTGCCTTACCGTATTCACAGCAGTTAGTAGTGCAATTATAATTATGTCATTATTTTTTATCGCAATAATCGGCACAATATGTTACACAATATGTTTATTTTTTAAAAGAGCCATAACATAATATTTATTTGTGTGTATTACTATTTTCTTATTAACAGTTTAGACATTTAAAATAATTACAGAATGCTAGCTATGTTTTGTGGGTATAAATATTTAATTGGTTGTCAAGCCTTGACTAAAGACAGTATAATAACATTATGGAATCACAAATCTTAATGTAATCAAACCCCTTAATTTATATAATAATCTTTTATTTTAAAGAAATACCATTTTTAAGTGTGTTTTGTGACAAAGTTATTTGTTATTAAGCAATAGGGTATAATATGTTTTTTTTATTACAAGCATGTCATTTGTGTACTAATGCATTATGATGTATGGCATAATTTAATCTTAATACAGAACATCATACAATACAATAACATTTAATGTAATAAAATTAGTGAACCAAAACTTGTATAAAAATTTAATTAAATTTCACAATACATAATGAATTCAACTGAATTATGAGATGTAATATATTACATTTTTATTAACACAAAACTACAAGCAAAATGCACATCGTTTTAGGACATTTATAGAGCTTTTAAAAATACACAACAATACAAAGCAGCTTTAAACAGAAATACTTTTGTATGTCTTTACTTTCCTAAATACTTTTGTGATAGTTCTCTGGCTATACATTGTGAAGATTTAAAAACAATTAATGTCGAGTTAGCTGTGTTTAAATATTTAATGAACTGTAAGGTTAAAGTTTGAGAACTAATGAGACACAAATAGATGCAGTGTCTTTTGCTGTATGAAAAGTCAAATCTTTAGTTTGAAGTATATTCATGTTGTATATGCAGTCAATTCTTTGTGGAACCATCCTAAGGCCTACATGATGCAGTCCATCAATTTAGTGGTGGGGTCGTGACCTGGTAGGCGAGGAGGTGTCATGGACTGGCTTGAGGGAACTCTGCAAAAACACACACACATGCTGCAACACGTCATGTGCAACTGTACATTTGCACAGTCTTTAGTGCTATGGAACATCACTCACTGTTTTTACTTAGATGGGCACACTGGAAGGCACAACGCAGCAGGCGTAGTGAGCTCGCTGAACCTTGTCGTCATTTCCCCTTGGCATGATTGGGTCGTGACCTGCAAAACACACACACATGCTGCAACACGTCATGTGCAACTGTACATATGCACAGTCTGTTGTGCTATGGAACATCACTCACTGTTTTTACTTGGCTATGCAAGCCCAAAGGTGCAACGCAGCAGAACGTAGTTGGCTCGTTGAACCTGGGTGTCATGGATGGACTGGCTTGAGGGAACTCTGCAAAAACACACACACATGCTGCAACACGTCATGTGCAACTGTACATATGCACAGTCTTTAGTGCTATGGAACATCACTCACTGTTTTTACTTAGATGGGCACACTGGAAGGCACAACGCAGCAGGCGTAGTGAGCTCGCTGAACCTTGTCGTCATTTCCCCTTGGCATGATTGGGTCGTGACCTGCAAAACACACACACATGCTGCAACACGTCATGTGCAACTGTACATATGCACAGTCTGTTGTGCTATGGAACATCACTCACTGTTTTTACTTGGCTATGCAAGCCCAAAGGTGCAACGCAGCAGAACGTAGTTGGCTCGTTGAACCTGGGTGTCATGGATGGACTGGCTTGAGGGAACTCTGCAAAAACACACACACATGCTGCAACACGTCATGTGCAACTGTACATATGCACAGTCTGTTGTGCTATGGAACATCACTCACTGTTTTTACTTGGCTATGCAAGCCCAAAGGTGCAACGCAGCAGAACGTAGTTGGCTCGTTGAACCTGGGTGTCATGGATGGACTGGCTTGAGGGAACTCTGCAAAACACACACACATGCTGCAACACGTGCATTTGTACACGCAAAGTCTGTTGTGCTGTGTAACATCACTCACTGTTAGGATGTTGTGACATTACAAGGCCATTTTAATGACACACTCCACAAGATAAGATATCTCAGCCCAAAATTGACTGAAACCTTCCATTCGTCTCAGTATTATAAGGCTGATCTGAACAACAGAAGATTAAATTTCTTAATTAAAATATATACTATATAGTATATATTTGTACCAAAATGATACCTTAAATTGCGTACCTCAGGAATCAGTTCACACATTACAAGGTCGATATGTTCAAGCTTTTTTTCCTTCTTTTGCTTAAACACAATGTTGTCAATGTGTCCTAGAAGTTCCTCAACATGTGCTGACAAGGCTGGATGAAAGCTCTTTGGTTGTGACATTTTCCCAGTCTTCGTTTGCCACCATTTGTTCCACGTAGGTTTCAGTGAGCCTTTCACAATTCCTTGGAACAACTCCTGAAAAAAATATTTAATATAGCAAACAATATCTAGCCATTTTAAGTTTTGTAAAGTCTTATATGTACCTTAATTTCAGTATCACTGACAAGAGAACAAATTCCCTTTTTTTCCACCTCCTCGACTGTCCTATATTTTAAAAATCATCGATCTACTTGATCTATTACACTTTTATGTTGATTTATTTAAATGAGGACACACATTTTACACATACCTTTTATACGTCATATGCTGAAGAGCATATGCTGCCATTGATGATGCGTGATATCTTCTCAGATGCCACAGATCGTCTCCCTGTATCACCTCGTTTTTCATAGAGGTCCATTTGTCCCGCACCTCCATTTCTGCCATCTAATGCAATAAACACAGTTGTTAAAGTAATGTAGATAAAAATAAAATAAATAAATAAAAGCATTTGTTTAACTTACTGTACAAACCAAAACCCCACAGTTGTTAGAGTCAGCCAGCCTCCACTGTTCTGGGTACTCAACAGTCCATTTTCCCAAGTCCCAAGTATTTCGGAAGGCATTGCTTTTGTACAATAGAAAAAAGGAATTAATAAATGTACATTAGTAAATAAAGATAACAATTTTGACATTTACAAAGCACATAATACCATAGTATAGCCAGGTCCATCGCAGAAATTGACTTGTAGTTGCCAGTGGGGTCGTAAACGCGAATACGATTCAGCAAACCATCCAAGACCTTTACAACATAAACAGAAACCGCTGTAACCAGAGTAACAACTGTTGAGCAAAAATGTTTTTTTTTTTATCCATACATACCCACAAAATGAAGTGGTTTCCCTTTTCGGGGCTCTGTCCACCAACAATTCTTGGAATAAGGACTGTGTCAATCTCATCAAGGTCCTTTAAAATATTTTTAAGTACATAAGTAAGTAAATGTGTCCCCTGCCCCTGAAATTTATTTGATAGATTTTCATTTACCTTCAGACAAGAAATGTGACTGTCATCCACATGTTTCTTGATAGTGAAGGATCGCCACCAGAGAACGAACGTGTGCACCTGTAAAGCAGTTCCACCATGTGCTTTACAGAGCTGTGCAATCCTTGTGTC